TTCATTGGCTTTCCATCCCTCTTAGGTAGGTCCGAACTCCTGATCATGCCACAGAGGAATGTGGCCTCTACCTATCTCTTCACCAATCCTTCTCTATCCTCTTCCTTTTCTCCCACTGTCCTCCTACAACTGACTGCACGCTCTTTGAAGGCATGTTATTTCCAAAATCCAACACATCTTCTTTTACTCAAAAAACATGCAAAACTGTATTTTGAATGATGAATAAAAAAATAAAATCAGGCTGGGTGCAATGGCTCATGCCTGTAATCCCAGCACTTTGGGAGGCCGAGGCGGGTAGATCACCTGAGGTCAGGAGTTCGAGACCAGTCTGGCTAAAGTGGCAAAACCCTGTCTCTACTAAAAATACAAAAATTAGCCAAGCATGGTGGTGGGCGCCTGTAATCCCAGCTACTCGGGAGGCTGAGGCAGGAGAATTTGCTGAACTGAAGGCGGGGAGAATTTGCTGTGAGCTGAGCTTGTGCCACTGCACACCAGCCTGGGCGACAGGAGCGAAACTCTATCTCAAAAAAAAAAAAAAAAAAGAAGAACAACTATCCCCAGGTGACAGAAATGAAAAAACAAAAAGCAACAATAGAAAGGTGACTAGGGGCTAGGAGTCTAACATGCACACCAGGAAAGCAGGTGTGAAGGGTCATGAGACAAGGAGGGCTAGAACTGAGCTCCAGCAGATAGCTCAAAGTACCAGCAAATTCCATGGACAATAACAAGGAGCTTACCTCCATCTTGCACTTCATGTGGGGGTGGGGGAAAGTCACCTATAGGAAAACAAATCTCTCAATCCATGCCATGTATAGACATGCATACTAAATTTTATGCAGTACTCATCCTGTATAAAACATGAGGCAGTAGAACTGTAAGCCAAGAAATTAACATAAAAATTGGTCTATAACTACTAAAGTACCCAAAGACTCTAAAAAAAGAAAAAAACCTAAACCACTATTTCACAGAGCACCTGTGGCTCCCACAGACTAAACATCACCAATTGAATGTGAGCTCATAAATAAAAACTAAAAAACATACAGGTTAAAAAAAACTACAAATGGTAGCAGCCAACAGATATACATATCAAATTAATAGTCCTCCCCAAATTTGACATATTTAAGTAATCGGAAAATATAAGTTAAGTATGTGTATTAGGCTGTTCTCACATTGCTATAAAGAAATACCTGAGACTGGGTAATTTATAAAGAAAAGAGGTTTAATTGGCTCATGGTTCTGCAGGCTATACTGGAAGCATGGGGGTTTCTGCTTCTGGGGAGGCCTCAGGGATCTTTTACTTAGTGGGAGCAGGCGTTTTATATGGCAGGAGCAGGACTCAAAGGCGGGGGAGGTGCTACACACTTAAACAGCCAGATCTCATGAGAACTCACTCACTATCACAAGAACAGCACGGAGGGGATGATGCTAAACCATTCATGAGAAACTGCCCCCAAGATCCAATCACTTGCCATCAGGCCCCACCTCCAACACTGGGGATTACAATTTGACATGAGGTTTCGGAGTGGACACAGATCAAAGCCATATCAATAAGTTTAAATTTGTAAAAGAGATGAAAGCAATAGAAGCCATAATGAAATAGAACAGTGTAGGAAAAACAGGATAGGCAGAACTGAAAAAGGACCAAATAGAATTTCCAGAGATAAAATCTAATTATTAAAATAAAAAGACTCAATGAACAGCTAAGTAGCAGATTATAAATAGTTATGGAAAGAACTGAAAGTGAAAGAGAGCTGAGAAAATTAACTGCAATGAATCACAGACATGGAAAGACATGGAAAAATAAAGAGTTCTTAAACAACATAGACGACAGAATGAGGATACAAATAGGAATCCCAGAAGGAAAGAACAGAGCTATTAGGGAACAGGAAACAGTTGAAGTAATACTACCTTACAATTTTCTTTTCTTTTCTTTTTCTTTTTTTTTTTTTTTGAGACAGAGTCTTGCTCTGTCACCCAGGCTGGAGTGCAGTGGCACAATCTCGGCTCACTGCAAGCTCCGCCTCCCAGGTTCACACCATTCTCCTGCATCAGCCTCCCGAGTAGCTGGGACTACAGGCGCCCGCCACCACGCCCGGCTAATTTTTTTTGTATTTTTAGTAGAGACAGGGTTTCACCATGTTAACCAGGATGGTCTCAATCTCCTGACCTTGTGATCTGCCCGCCTTGGCCTCCCAAAGTGCTGGGATTACAGGCGTGAGCCACTGCGCCCAGCCAGAATTTTCCATAATAGAAGACTTTAATTATTACATGGAAGCAGCAGCCAGGGTCCTAAAGCAGAAGAAATAAAAACATGCAAACTCGGATTCATGATAAAACATCATAACATAACATCAAAGACTGAAGGAAATCTTAAAAGCAAACAGAAGAGAAATTACTAAGGAAAACAAGACAATTAGAATGATAGCAAAACATCTCATTAGCAACATATGCCACAAGACAACGAAATAACATTTTCAAAATGCTGAGGAAAAATAACTAAGAATTCTATATTTGGGAAGCAATGATAAATTAGACATTTTCAAACAAAGATTGAGAGTTTACCACTCTTACACTCTGGCTGAACAAATTACTAAAGGAAGTCCTTCAGTATGGATTCCTTCTTGACATGTTTTTAAATTCATAAAGTGCACAGGGTTACAGGCCGCTTGCAGTGGCTCACCCACCAGCACTTTAGGAAGCTGAGGTAGGTGGATCACTTGAGCTCAGGAGTTCAAGACCAGCCTGGGCATGGCAAAACCCTGTCTCTACAAAAAAGTGCAAAAATTAGCAGAGTATGCTATAATCCCAGCTACTCAGGAGGCTGAAGTGGGAGGATGGCTTGGGCCTGGGAGGTTGAGGCTGCAGTGAACCATGTTTGTGCCATTACACTCCAGCCTGGGTGCCAAAGCAAGACCCTGGGTACTTTAGTAGTTATATAAGTGTGTGTGTGTATATATATGTGTGTGTGTATATATATATTTGTGTGTGTGTGAGACAGGGTCTTGCTTTATGTGTATACATATATAGACATATACATATATATACACACACATACACAAAAGAAGTAAATTATAGCAAAATACAGTTACTTTGGACATGTATGTACAAAAAATTGAATTTAGACACACACTTTACACCTTTCCCAAAAATTAACTCAAAATGGATAATAAACCTAAGCGTAAAATGCAAAACTACAAAACTCCTAGAAGGTAACATAGGAGAAAATCGACATGCCGCTGGGTTTGGCCATGACTTTTTAGTTACAACACCAAAAGAATGTCCCAGGAAAGAAAAAAATTGACCAGTTGGACTTCATTAAAATTGAAAACTGCTCTGTGAAAGATGCTGTTAAGATAATGAAAAGACAAGCCACAGACTCAGAGAAAATCTCCAAAAAGCACGTATTTGATAAAGAACTGGTGTCCGAAATACACAAAGAACTCTTAAAACTCAATAATGAGAAAACAAAAACCCAATTAAAAAATGGGCAAAAGATCTAAACACCTCCTGTTACACAGATGACAAATAAGCATAAAAAAAGATGTTCCAGGGCTGGGCGTGGTGGCTCACTCCATAAACCCAGCACTTTGGGAGGCCAAGGTGGGTGGATCACCTGAGGTCAGGAGTTTGAGACTAGCGTGGCCATCACGGTGAAACCCTGTCTCTCCTAAAAATACAAAATTAGCTGGACGTGGTGGCATGCGCCTGTAATCCCAGCTACTTGGAAGGCTGAGGCAGGAGAATCATTTGAACCAGGGAGGCAGAAGTTACAGTAAGCTGAGATCGAACCATTGCACGCCAGCCTGGGCAAAAAAAGTGAAACTCCATCTCACAAAAGAAAAAAAAAGATGTCCAAATCATACGTCATTAGAGAATGGCAATTTAAAACAACAATGAGATACCACTACACATGTATTAGAATGGCTAAAATACAAAACACTGACAACACCAAATCCTGGCAATGATGTGAACCAATAGTAACTCTTATCCACCATAGTTGGGAATGCAAAAACAGATACTTTGGCAGTTTCCTAGAAAGTAAACATAAACTTACCATACAATCCAGCAATCATGCTCCTTGGTACTAAATGTGTTGAAAATTTATGTGTACACAAAACCTACACACGAATGTTTATGGCAGCTTTATTTGTAACTGCCCGAACTTGGATGTGACCCAGATGTTCCTCAATAGCTCAATGGATAAACAAACTGTGGTATAATCATAGAACGAAATATTATTCAGCAATAAAAAGAAATGAGCCATCAAGCCACTAATAGACATGGAGAAACCTCAAATGCATATTGTGAAGTGAAGGAAGCCAATCTGAAAAGGTTACACACTATATGATTCCAACTATATGGAAAAGGTGAAACTATAGAGACAGTAAAAAGATCAGTGGTTGCTAGAGTTTCAGGAGAAGGAAGGGATGAATAGGTGGGGAACAGCAGAGTTTTAGGGCAGTGAAACTATTCTGTACAACACTATAATTGTGGATACACATCATCGTGCATTTGTCAAAACTCACATAATATATAACACCAAGAATGAACCCTAATGTAAGCTATGGAATTTAGTTAATAATAAATCAATATTGGCTCAATTGTGACAAACTTATTACACTAGTATAGGATGTCAATAATAGGGGAAACTGTGTGCATGGTGAGGGAGGAAGGGCATGTTTGGGAACTCTGTACTTTTCCATCAATGTTTTTCTGTAAGTCTAAAACTGCTCCCAAAAAACCATCTACTGATAAAGAGAAAATTAAAAAACAATAAAAACAGCAACAACAAAAACAATACCTTTACATATGGGAAGATGAAAATTAAAACGTTCTAAGTTCCTCATATTGTTTTGTAGAAAGAGATGTTGATTATCTTTAGACTTTCAGTCAAATAATGCACATCAAAAATTTAAAAGTAACTGCTAAACGAAAAGAGGATGAAGTAAAACAACAACTGTTATAAAGCAAATCTATTCCTTTTAACTGTGGCAGCTTACCTGAGATTCCAGAACCTCCAATTTACGTTTCCTTGCATGAAGAGCTTTACTTGGAAAAGCCCAATAATAATTAGAAGTTCCGATCCTCTCACAGTCAACCATACCATCATCAACTAAGCTCTGAAGGACTTCTTTTACTGACATAGCAGCTAAGAGACAATTTTTAAAGACTCTATGTTAAAAAAACACCATAAATAAAATTAAAGGACAAATAACCGGGGAAACACTTGCAAAACATATGACAAATCAAGAATTAAAAAGTTAATAAATAATAAGCTCTTAAAAATAACAATATGCACAACAAAAAATTGCCTAAGGAAACATTCCTTAGAATGTATCCCCATCCTTAAGCAAAGCATAACTTATATAGGAGCTTAGGGGAAAACAGGTCATATACAGGATTAAGAATAGGACCTGAGTTCTAGTCCTAACTCTTAGCAGTAACACTGGATGACTCTAGGGCAAACTGTTCTTTATGCCTAATTTTTAAAACCTATTAGATATGATCATTTCCAAACCTACTTTGGTGCACAGCGGTAATGTCAATAAAATGTTACTTGTGAGAAGCCTTTGAAAAAGTAAAACAGAACTACAGAAATGCAAGTTTTTCTCCCCCAATAGATTATGTACTAATAGAAGATACTAGCATCAGTGCTTAGTAAGTAATTTTAATAGTGTTAACGCTCATAGTCTGTTGCTATATGGTATCTTTTCCTTTTCTAAATAATGTTTCTTTTTTAAAAAAAGATGTTGGGTAATTTGGCTATCATCTTATACTGCAGAAAAAAATTGTCAATCACTGGGAGGGAAAACGGTAAGAAAAAAAGGAATCTAGTTAATACAAATTTTTAAAATAAATTTTTCCATCTTGTAGACTGTATTGAATTTTGATTTTGATCCTTCAAGATACAGTTGAGATTCCATTACCTACAATTTGTCTGGGGATATTAGGACACTGGTGTAATTAAAACTGTATAGTTGACCCTTGAACAGTACAGGTTTGAACCGTATGGGTCCAGTTATACGTGGATTTGCTGCCACCCGAGACAGCAACACCACTTCCTCAGCCTACTCAACGTAAGATGACAAGGACGAAGACCTTTAGGATGATCCACTGCCACTTAATGAATAGTAAATACATGGTATGGCTTCCCGTCAACAGCAGGCTATCAGTAGTTAAGTTTTGGGGGAGTCAAAAGTTACATGCAGATTTTCAATTGTGTGGGGGATTGGTATCCCAATCTTGAACAACACAGGTGTTGTTCAAGGGTCAGCTGTGTATTTAAACTTAAGAAATTTTCCTATCTTTAACAAGTAGCAGAACCAATTGTTCACTGATGACTGTAAAGACAGAATAACTGTGTGGTGTGCATAAAAGTGTGAGGGACTCTCAGTGGTTGTCTAGTTTCATTTGTATGTACATTCATAATAAAAGAGGTTTTTTCATTTTGAAACAACATAAGACACAGAAAAAATACATCAATGTGCATCTATAAAATATGCATGGTGGCTCATGCCTATAATCCCAGCACTTTGGGAGGCCGAGGCAGGTAGATCACTTGAGGTCAGGGGTTTGAGACCAGCCTGGCCAACATGGCGAATCCCCATCTCTACTAAAAATACAAAGGTTAGCTGGGCATGGTGGCAGGCACTTGTAATCCCAGCTACTTATGAGGCTGAAGCAGGAGAATTGCTTGAACCTGAGAGGCAGAGGTTGCAGCGTGCCAGGACTGCACCACTGCACTCCAGCCTGGATGACAGAGTAGATTCTGTCTCAAAAAATAAATAAATAAATAAAATTAAAATAAAATGAAATATGCATGGCCAATATATGAGAAAAATGTTCAACCACATTAATAACTGAAGAAATAAAAAATAAAGCAATTAGACATGACTACCCAATTGAAAACACTAAAAAAATAAAGAATTCAAGGAAATGGGTACTCTCAGTATGGGTGGAGAAATGTGGCATTCTGTAGCTAAAACTTTAGATTTATACATATCTTTTTTTTTTTTTTTTTTTTGAGACGGAGTCTTGCTCTGTCCCCAGGATGGAGTGCAGTGGTGCAATCTCGGTTCACTGCAAGCTCTGCCTCCCAGGTTCACGCCATTCTCCTGCCTCAGCCTCCTGAGTAGCTAGGACTACAGATGCCCGCCACCATGCCGGGCTAATTTTTTTATTTTTATTTTTAGTGGAGACGGGGTTTCACCGCGTTAGGCAGGATGGTCTCAATCTCCTGACCCTGTGATCTGCCTGCCTTGGCCTCCCAGAGTGCTGGGATTACAGGCGTGAGCCACCGCGCCCAGCCTGATTTATACATATCTTTTATGGGGAAATTCCACCTTATAAATACAGCCAAACAAAACAATAATAGATACATAAAAGGATGCCTGTCAATACATTGTTTTCGATAGCAAAAAAACTGGAAACCAGTCTAATAACTGGATTTTTATTTTAAAGACAGGATTTTGCTATGTTGCCTAGCTGGCCTGAAGCGATCCTCCCGCTTCAGCCTCCAGAGTGGCTGGGACCTCAAGGTGTGTGTGCTACCACCCAGCTTATCAACTAGATTTTTAAAAGTATTTTTTATTGCAATGGGATGCTATACAATCATTTATGTTATAAAAGGATATTTAATGACAGGGATATATATTCAAAATGTAATATACAGGATGTATTATACAGAAAAATAAAGGACAACACGACAGTGGTTATCTTTGGATGGTAGGTAACTGGTGGTAATTTCTTTGTCTCTAGAAATTCAGGTTTTCCATAAAGTGAAAGACTGTTGCAGAAAAGATGACTTAATGAACATTAAGATATTTCCCAAAACATCCCAGTATATTTTCCAAAACATTCCAGTGTAATTTTGGTACTTACTAATGCCTTTCTCTTTGGGAGCAATCTTCTCCAAGTCTTTTAATTGAAACACATCTTTCTGTTTAAAAGGGTTTTAAAGAAAATGAAAAGCACATGTTTATTTTCTACTATGTATATTATCTTTTTAAAAAACTTTTATTATAGGTACATAATAGTTGTATACATTTACAGGGTATGTGTGATATTTTGATACAGGTATACAATGTGCTATGATCAAATTGTGGTAATTAGGGTATCCATCCCTTCAAACACTGATCATTTCTTTGTGTTAGGAACACTCCGATTCCACTTTTAGTATTTTAAAATATACAATATATTATTGTTAACTATAGTCACCCTATCGTGTTCTATTATATATTTATATATACATCATAATTTTATGTTCATGAAAAAATGTATTTAAAAAATTGGCCTGGAAATGAGCAGTATAATAGAATCAAGCATTTTAGAGCTTATAAGAAACTCTTTGATTATCTCATTCAATACCCTCAATAGAACTTAAAATGAAGAGATTTTTGCATACATATACAATTTTTTTTTGTTTGAGACATGGTTTCACTCTATCACCTAGATGGGAGTGCAGTGGCATGATTATGGCTCACTGCAGCCTTGACCTCCAGGGCTCAAGCAATTCTCCCACTTCAGCCTCCTGAGGGAGAACATAAAGAACAATAAAGTTCTTGGAGATCAGAACATAAAGAACAATCTTCCCACTTAAATATAAAAACTAGTTATAGGCCAGTCACGGTGTCTTCTGTCTGTAATCCCAGCATTTTGGGAGGACTGCTTGAGCCTAAGAGCTGGAGACTGGCCTGGGTAACATATTGAGACCACTCTCGCACCACATCTCTACAAAATCAAAAAATTAGCTGGGTGTAGTGGCGTGTGCCTGTAGTCCTAGATACGTGGGAGGCTGAGGTGGGAGAATCGCTTGAGCCTGGGAGGTTGAGGCTGCAGTAAGCTATGACTGTGCCACTATACTCCAGCCTGAGTATAGAGTGAGATTCTGTTTCAAAAAACAAAACAAAACAGAAACGGTATCAAAAAAACACCAACCTAGTTATACTGGATCACATGGTAACAGGAGCGAATTACCTTCTCTGACACTTTGATTTTAAGAAAACACAGACAGTGCTTTAACATGTATGACACTATACAGATTTAGCAGTTCTAACTAAAAGCAAAACAGGCAACTGTCAGGTTTCGTGGAAGGGGTTTCGTGGAAAAGCTATACCTAAACAATAGGGAAATTATACAATTCATGGCTGCCTATCAATCATTCACATATACATGTTGCATGTCCACCATATGCAAAGGAAAACATTAAGGGAAGATATGCGTGTTGAATATTTAAATCTTACGACCAGGAAAAAAAAAAAAACCTGTCTAGAATATTATTTTCTACTGCTAATAAGCCTTGGTTGAAGTGGTGAAAAGAACTTGCATAACAAAAGTTAAATCATTTGAAAAAACTAAAGTATGTAGTAATTAGAACAGAAATATTGTGGATGGGCATGGTGGCTCACGCCCCTGTAATCCCAGCACTTTGGGAGGCTGAGGCGGGTGGATTGTTTGAGCTCAGGAGTTCGAGACCAGTATGGCCAATATGGCAAAACCCTGTTTCTACTAAACATACAAAAATTAGCTGGGCGTTATGGCGGGCACCCGAGTAATCCCAGGTACTCGGGAGGCTGAGGCACAAGAATCGCTTGAACTTGGGAGGTGGAGGCTGCAGTAAGCCAAGATCACACCACTGCACTCCAGCCTGGGCAACAGAGAGAGACTCAGTCTCAAAACAAAACAACAACAACAAAAAAACCCAGAAATATTTTGATTATTGTTACGAAAAATTTGGGATACAGTTCTTCCAAAATAAACTTGAAAAGGCAACTGCACTTGGAAATTATACTTCATAAAAATTTAAAACTTCTGCTCATCCAAGGGCACTGGAAAGAAAATGAAATGACAAATACCAACTAGATTAAAATAACTGCAAAACATGTACCTGGAAAAGGCTTGGCACCCAGGATATACATATATAAAGAACTCCTTTGAAGTACATTAAAAAAAAAGAGTTGATGGAGAGATAAGAAGTAGATAGATGAATATATATGTGATAAAGCCAGAAGAATAAAATGCGAATGGTAGAATCTAGGTAGTAGGCATATGGGTATTCACTGAAAAACTCATCTTTGCTGTATGTTTGAAAATTTTCATAATAAAATGTTGAAAAAATTTCATCTCACTACACCTAAGAGTTAGTAAATTTAGGAAAATATTAAGTCATTGAACTTCGTGAGAGTATGAGATTAATTTTTGCACATTGAGGAATAAATTATTTAAACATAATACTTTAGAATCTCAGGGAACATGTAATACATTACTGACTTTAAGTCTTTAATGCATTAGAAAAATCAGTTAATCAAACCTCTTTGCAAATACTTTAAATTCCCTAGAAAAAGAACACGAACCATTGAGATATCTGCCTAAATGCAGTCACCAAGGAAGAGCTCCAGATGTACTGGCTGGCCCAGTGGGGCTGCTGTATAAACAAACAGGCTTGGAAAGAACTAGCCTCAGAACTCAGTGCGGTCACTGAAGTGGACAGAGCAAATGATCTCAAGTAAATCTCAGTTCTTAGACTCCCCGGCATTAAGCAGAGATAATGAAGAAGGGATGAAGACAATATAAAAAGAACTATGTGTAGGATACCATGGAAGACATATAATCCTAGATAATATTGTTCTTTTTTTTTTCTTTCTTTTTTTATAATACTTCAAGTTCTAGGGTACATGTGCACAACATGCGGGTTTGTTACATATGTATGTATGTGCCATGTTGGTGTGCTGCACCCATTAACTCGTCATTTACATTAGGTATATCTCCTAAAGCTATCCCTCCCCCCTACCTCCTCCCCACATAGGCCCCAGTGTGTGATGTTCCCCTTCCTGTGTCCAAGTGATCTCATTGTTCAATTCCCATCTATGAGCGAGAACATGCGGTATTTGGTTTTCTGTTCTTACGATAGTTTGCTGAGAATGATGGTTTCCAGCTGCATCCATGTCCCTACAAAGGACACAAACTCATCCTTTTTTATGGCTGCATAGTATTCCACGGTGTATATGTGCCACAATTTCTTAAACCAGTCTGTCACTGATGGACATTTGGGTTGATTCTAAGTGTTTGCTATTGTGAATAGTGCTGCAATAAACATATGTGTGCATGTGTCTTCATAGCAGCATGACTTACAATCCTTACCCAGTAATGGGATGGCTGGGTCAAATGGTATTTCTAGTTCTAGATCCTTGAGGAATTGCCACACTGTTTTCCACAATGGTTGAACTAATTTACAGTCCCACCAACAGTGTAAAAGTGTTCCTATTTCTCCACATCCTCTCCAGCACCTGTTGTTTCCTGACTTTTCAATGATTGCCATTCTAACTGGTGTGAGATGGTATCTCATTGTGGTTTTGATTTGCATTTCTCTGATGGCGAGTGATGATGAGCATTTTTTCATGTGTCTGTTGGCTGTATGAATGTCTTGTTTTGAGAAGTGTCTGTTCATATCCTTTGCCCACTTTTTGATAGGGTTGTTTTTTTCTTGTAAATTTGTTTGAGTTCTTTGTAGGTTCTGGGTATTAGCCCTTTGTCAGATGAGTAGATTGCAAAAATTTTCTCCCATTCTGTAGGTTGCCTGTTCACTCTGATGGTAGTTTCTTTTGCTGTGCAGAAGCTCTTTAGTTTAATTAGATCCCATTTGTCAATTTTGGCTTTTGTTGCTGTTGCTTTTGGTGTTTTAGACATGAAGTCTTTGCCCATGCCTATGTCCTGAATGGTATTACCCAGCTTTTCTTCTAGGGTTTTTATGCTTTTAGGTCTAACTTTAAGTCTCTATCCATCTTGAATTAATTTTCTATAAGGAGTAAGGAAAGGATCCAGTTTCAGCTTTCTACTTGTGGCTAGCCAATTTTCCCAGCACCATTTATTAAATAGGGAATCCTTTCCCCATTTCTTGTTTTTGTCAGATTTGTCAAAGATCAGATAGTTGTAGATGTGTGGTATTATTTCTGAGGGCTCTGTTCTGTTCCATTGGTCTCTGTCTCTGTTTTGGTACCAGTACCATGTTGTTTTGGTTACTGTAGCCTTGTAGCATAGTTTGAAGTCAGGTAGCATGATGCTTCCAGCTTTGTTCTCTTGGCTTAGGATTGTCTTGGCAATGGGGCTCTTTTTTGATTCCATATGAACTTTAAAGCAGTTTTTTTCCAATTCTGTGAAGAAAGTCATTGGTAGCTTAGTGGGGATGGCATTGAATCTATAAATTACCTTGGGCAGTATGGCCATTTTCGCGATAGTTGAGTCTTCCTATCCATGAGCATGGTATGTTCTTTCATTGTTTGTGTCCCTTTTATTTCATTGACGCAGTGGTTTGTAGTTCTCCTTGAAGAGGTCCATTTACATCCCTTGTAAGTTGGATTCCTAGGGTTTTATTCTCTTTGAAGCCATTGTGAATGGGAGGTTCAATCATGATTTGGTTCTCTGTTTGCTGTTACTGGTGTATAGAATGCTTGTGATTTTTGCACATTGATTTTGTATCCTGAGACTTTGCTGAAGTTGCTTATCAGCTTAAGGAGATTTTGGGCTGAGACGATGAGGTTTTTAAATATACAATCATGTCATCTGCAAACAGGGACAATTTGATTTTCTTTCCTAACTAAATATGCCTTTATTTCTTTCTCTTGCCTGATTGCCCTAGCCAGAATTCCAACACTATGTTGGAATAGGAGTGGTGAGAGAGGGCATCCCTGTCTGTGCCAGTTTTCAAAGGAATGCTTTCCAGTTTTTGCCCATTCAGTTATGATATTTGGCTTTGGGTTTGTCACAAATAGCTCTTATTATTCTGAGATACGTTCCATCAATACCGAATTTATATGAGATTTTTAGCATGAAGGGCTGTTGAATTTGTCAAAGGCCTTTTCTGCAATCTTTGAGATAATCATGTGGTTTTTTGTCTTTGGTTCTGTTTATATGCTGGATTACATTATTGATTTGGCATATGTTGAACCCTTTTTTTCTTTTTTTTTTTTTTAAGACAAGGTCTCATTCTGTTACCTGGGCTAGAGTGCCGGAGTGACAGAGTGTGATCACGGCTCACTACCAACCTCAAACTCTTGGGCTCAACAGATCCTCCTGCCTTGGTCTCCCAAAATATTGGAATTACAGGTGCGAGCCGTGGCATCTGGCCCTAGATAACATTTCATAAAGCACTTATGACCTGGGCATTGTTTAATATATTATCTTATTTAATCCCCATACCAACACTGTGAGCTGGGTAAAATTATCATCTTCTTTGAGAGAAGAAGAAACAGACATAGAGAGGTCAAGAACCTTGCTTAAAGGTCACAAAGCTATTGAGTTAAACAGGTTCCAGATGCAAACTTTCAATTATTGAGCTACACTGTTCTCATGTTCTTCCTAAGTGCAACAGGCAAATAATTTATTACATTAGCAGCTCCAAAACACACATACATGCACGTATATATCCATCCATACATGATCATGTCTATGCCTCTTTTTCTCCATTTATATATTTATTTTAATTATCTGGGCATACGCATGGCCATTCCAGAGATCTGTGTGCCAATGGAAAGCTACCCATTTGTTTGCTGAAGTAATTTTTTAAAAAGCTCAACACATTTATTGGTGGCCTATTTTGTGCCTCAAATAGTCCCTGACGGTTCTTACTCTCTCTCTGAGTTGTCATTATTACCAATGACTATGTTTTTAAAAGATTTCCAAAACCTTGCAGACAGCCCACTTACGATTAGAGGCAATATAGTATGTGCTGCTTCATTAGTTGATTTTCTAATTTGATTAAAAAGGTAGTGTTTGTTCACTGTAGGTAACAAAGAGTGTAAAACAAAATCCACCTGTATCTTACCATTGTTAATATTTGTCATCATGCATTGTTTTTTATATTTTACATTTTCTACTTAACATTAAATTATAAGCATTTTCCCATGACATTAGTCTTGAAAAGGGGGCTGCTATTGACATCTAAAGAAAGTCAAATTCTGTAACAAATTCTTGAGTAGCCATATTTGATTTTGTTGGAATTTTTACTTGCCAATTGCAACAATGAAATTAGAATCCAGATTCCTGAATCTGAATTCCAGAATCCATGTTTTTCACTCTGCACCATTATTGTTGATTTGCTTTGAGATGTTGAAGCAAATCGAATATTTATCTACTTTTGACATCAGTCTGGATCCTGGATATACCATATCCCATTCAGGAGAGAACAAATTAAATGGCCTTCATTACTTTTGCCAAATCTCTTATACTTTTCAATTCCATCAAAAAACTGATAGACTAAATAAATGAGCAGCAACTGATTAGGCTATAATGAAAAAAAGAAACAGGAATATATGAAATGAATCAATCAGTACAATTAATTCCCAGCTTTATGGAAAACCTCACTAATGACTGACTTCCTTAAACTGCGATCCTCAGAGTTTTTCATGTTTTGGTGTTACTGAGGACAAGGTTTAAAATTTTTCAGTTAGAAACTGTCACTTTTTATATTTGAGATAATTAACAATATTGTAAAATGACAAAATAATTTCCCCAACACTCTCCTCAGCTTTCTACTGTCTTGCAGGAATTAAACCTACTTTTCTTGCTGAGACCATAGGAAAAATATTTCAACTCAGCAGAATAACTGCCGTAATTTTCATATAGAGACTTCACCAATTTATCTTCCTAACCATATCATCATCATAATATGATATCCTGTTCTGAACTGCCAATGACTTTTAAGAATAAGATTATACTTAGTGGGCAAATCCCCAGTGTATTTTGCTTTTTTTTTTTTTTTACACTAAGAATCTGCCTTAAAGTGAAAAGGGATTTTATCACGTTAATATTCAATTTTACCACTTTTTCCCATCTTCACATTTGTATATGATGAAAATAGCCAACGAGGCCTATGCAGGTCCTGTCAAGCCGTATCATATGGCTTGAAGTTAGTGTTGTTTTAGGTGAAAGATTTATGTGGCCTTTAACCTGAAGACAAAGAAAAGCTTTCCAGTAACAGGGTAAAGCCATGAGACGGAGGCTCTAGAGCCAGGTACCTGGGTTTGAACTCTGGCTCTGTCACTTAGGAGATGAAACTTTAAACATATTTCCTGTTGGTGGCAGGTACAAATATCTGGAATAAATTAAGGAGGCCTGTGTACCATCAACTATGTGTTACACATTAGACAGACTTAAAATCCAAAGACAGTATTTAGTACTCCCTCTGAAATCAAATGATTCTTCCTGGTTTGAATCCTGGAACTATGGCTTCTATTGTTTGAGATCCAGGACTGGCTGGCACCTAGGCAGCACTCAGGAGATGTGGGCTTTTGTCATTATTATTTTTCAGGCAGAAAGGGGAGACAATCAAATATATGCATCAGAAGATTCTGGTGCCAGTATACAGGACTGCTTGGGTGAAAGAGACTCTACCAATAGTGGGATATGTTTTTTCAACTCCATAACTCACAGAAGCCACAAATATTTGCAGAATCTTACCCATTCTTCAAGAAATTGATCAGTATTGATGTCTTATAAAGAAGAGCAGTTAACATTGGATGACATATACTTAAGATGAAAATTACACAAAATTATGTGTTAAAGAAAATGACTTACTGTTTCAAAAAATATTTCCATCATGCGAGTTCTCTTTTCTTCTGCACTCAGTCCTTTTTTCTTTGACTAAAGCACAAAAATTAAAAAGTAAACAATGCTTTTAAACACATTTTGAAAACAGCTAGATTTGCAACATTATTTGAAATTTTATGCATGGTCTTATCTGATACCAACAGGTCTGATGCTCTCAAAGTCAGACCTAAAGACTCATTTTAATTACTATCTGCCAACCACTGTGCTAGGTGCTGCCAAGGTAGTAACTATAAATTGAGATAGAGCCTGGCATTTCGTAGAAATTCAGTATTTATAAAGTGAACCAATGATAAGCCACTGTATTGACCTTCCAAAGGCTTACAATCTCTCCAGAAAATAGATAGATGTAATTATTTATAGCTAATGAACAGCTACATGCGCCAATTGCTACATAAATACCCAGAACAGAATGAATTCCACTATGCAGAGGAAGAAGGGTTACCTAAGAAGGACAGAGATTAAAAGGATTTTGGCAAATTGAGAAATGGTGAGAAGCACATCTTGGGGAGACCACACACAGGTACAATGTTATGGAAGTACATGGAATTCTCCAGAAGGATAAGCTGTGGGGGATAATTATTGTATGAAGTATGTATGGGGAGTGGCAGATGGGATGAGAAAGGTGTGGGGTCAGGTTATGAAAAGCTGACTGTCCAGCTGAGAGTGGACTTCATTCTAGACAATGAGGAGCTGCTGAGTAATTTCTAAAGCAGACTAGTGGCAAGATTAGAGTTGCATTTTAGTAAGTTAATTATAGCAGCAATGTGGACAAGAGGGAAGGAGGAAAGACCTATCCAAGTAGAAAATGGAAGCCTACTCAGGTTATTCTTCTGTAATACCCTTTAGCCAATTTGAAATTAAGACAATATGTAGCTGAAATATATGTTAATAATAAATTTTACAGTATGTTGTATATAGAATATATAAAGCTAAATCCCAAGTTAGAAGAGAAAGGAGCCAAATTTCCTCCAACCCAAAGGTTTACAGGAAAAAAAAAGAGTGAGCACTATCACCTCCAGTTCTCTAATAAAAAATTCCACACTAATATTTCTTATGTGATCTGCATCCCTCTCAAACATTGTAGGGGATTATAAAGGAATATAAATTGTTTGCTTAAACAGCAGACATAAAACCACAGTTAAAGACTGCCCCATCCAACCAAAAACATCATCAGAAAATGTGAGTTTACATAAGTGAAGACAATGATTTGGAATTGCCATTCTGGCTACACACTAGAGTGAGTGAGTCTTAATTCTTGTAAAACCTAGAAACCCACTAACTTGGCTGGGCGGTGGCTCACACCTGTAATCCCAGCACTTTGGGAGGCTTAGGCTGGAGGATCACTTGAGGCCAGGAGTTTAAGACCAGCCTGGGCAACAAAGCAAGACACTGTCTCAAAACAAAACGAAACAAAAAAAAGCCTCCCTCCCCAAAAAAACCCAAAAAACCAAAAAACCAAAAAAACAAAAAAACCGGTGCACTAACTCATTCCCACAAGAATGAAATGATCAGGTATTTCTTGATGAGTAATATGGGTAAATAAATAGCTTAAAGTTTATATTTTTCTCTTCTTCCTCAGTCCACTCTCAAACACTGTTTTGCTGCAGGGTTTGGCTACTGACCCCATCTCCTAATATCTTATCTTTGATCTCATCTGCTTTCATGATTTTAATTAACACTCACGCTGAGATCTCATATCTTTACATTCACCCCTGGGTGTGCTCCTGAGCTTCAGTCTCATGCATCTACCCGCCTGCTGGACAAAATTCAACTCTGTCTAAACTCAACTCTTCCTCTCTCATACCTACTCCCCACAAACTTGCTATTCTAGACCTTGAGTCTCAGATACTACCTCGTGACCCAAGCCAGAGGCCTGACAGTCATCCTAGGTACCTTCACCTCTCTTATCTCACATCCAACCAATCACCAAGTTCTGCCAGTTTCAGCATTTAATTACTTCTCTTATCTGTCCTGTCTGTTCTATCTCTACTACCACTGCCTCATTCAGGCCTTCATCATCTGTCTCCTGCAATGTATCTCCAGTCCCCTAACCACACTTTGACTCACCCTCTATGTTCACATTCTGTGCTGGGAAAACATAAATATGACCATGTCCCTCCCTTGCTCAAAACCCTCCAGTGGCTCCCAGACATCCAGGCGTATCTGAGTACCCCAGTATGATATACAAAGCCCTTTATCACCTAACCCCAGGCTACCTTTTACAGCCTCTTCCACCACACCCCACCTCAAATTTTGCCATTAACAGAATGGAAACCTAAGCTACTTGAGTTGTAACACAAAAACTACTTGCAATTATCTACTCAAAGAATGCTCTCATTTCCGTCCTTAAAAAAAATGTTGTTCCTCCACCTAGAACACCCTCACCTCTCACCTACTCAAAACTCCAAAACATCTCCCAAGGCTTAATTTAGGCGCTATCCCTCCAGAACTTCCCTGAGTTCACAGGCTAAGCATGTATTCCCAGAACACACCGTCGTCAAATCACTTACTACATTGAAAAGATGTTTACTTGTCTCTCCCAGCACACTGAAAAACTTCTTCAGAACATGAACTGCCTTTGCCTTTCCAGGGCTTAGTGCCAAGTTAGAAAGGGGAGACATAAAGCTTTTAATTTTAGGACCATGTATCTAAAGCCCCCAACTCTAAAATTTGAGGCTGCTCAGGCTCCTAAGTCCCCCAACACCTACCATACTCCCATAGATATAACGGGTGAATTAATCATAGTGAATTCAGTGACACCATGTATTGCCTGGCTTGGAGAGACAAATCAGAGAAATCTCAGGTAGGCAAACTCCAGGAACCCATACAGACCTGCTCACTAAACCTAGGGCTGAGAGCCAGGGTCCAGGACTGCTCTATCTGCCTGCCTTCATTCTTGCCTCTGCAGTATCTGATAAATCAAGCATGAAATTCGTAACAGTTAGAAGACTCCTTCAACATATTTTTCTAGTCCAACAGGTCCTAAACTGCCATACATTAGAATCAGCTCAGGAGTTTTTTAAAAATACTGATGCCCAGGCTCACGTCGAATGAATGGAATCAAAATCTCTGGAATGGGACCTGGGCAACATATTTTTAAAATCCTCCAATATATTTTTAAAATCCTCTCCAACATATTTTTTAATTGTGGCAGGGTTGAGAACCCTACTTTTGTCAGCCCAGAATCTGAAGGCCATGTCAAGGGCGCTGCAGGGCAGTGGGAATCCCTTAAGAACTTCAGTCTGTGGCTGCATTAGCAGAAAGCAGATCCCGAAGTGTTAGGAAAGATCCTAACATTTTGATATTCTAAACAGCTCCTTGCGCTGCACAAGAATCTGCCCCCCAGAGGCAGGCAATGAGGAGAATCTAGTGTCCTGATTTTAGGAAAGTTTTAGGAAAGCTCTCAACACTCAGCTCAGCAGCTATGGAAGTTACTCAGGAAATGTGGATGAGCTCTATCATCCATTTCCATTGTTTTCAGCCTGATTTATTAATCAGTCTTTTTTATGACTAGAAATAATTTCCATTATTAACCACAGTAGGAGTATCATACCCAGAATTAAAATAACTAATATAAAAAGATGCCATATTAATACTCATATTTAGAAACTTCTCAAAAAAAATCAATGAGGATGTATTTAATATTTAATTAAGACTAGGAAAAACCTGATAGTGTAAGTTAGCGATGCATTCAAATTAGTAGTAAGTCAGGAGACTCAAAATCTGACTCAAGGACTATGAAGCTTTCTGGAAGTATTTTAAACCACTTTAAAAATCATGTTATCTGAGGAACCTTCTCAATTAGAAGTTATGGAATTCCTACAGCCAGCCCTACTCATCAATTACAATAAAATTGTGAAGAATTATTAAGTAGATGTCACTGCTGCTCTCAGAGTTCAGCACTGCACTTCTCCAATTTCAAAAATTGCCCGAACTCTATTTACTTAGGCTGCCTAACCAAATGAAAACAATTTCTAATTCATAATCAAAAGTTTACCTTTGACCAACACTAAACTTATTTCCTGATCACATATTAAAAAATAGGAAGTCCGCATCTTATCAAAAGTTTTAATTTTTTAAAAGGATTCTCTATTATCAGAGGTAAGCTTCTGAAGAGTTAACACATTTAGTATTAGAAGGTGATTCATGTATAGAGATTAGGTAAAAGGACAAAGCGCGTTTGAGCTGCACAGTTCTCCAAGTCAGTTATACGAGGTCAGCAACCCTGCAGAGAAAATTGGTAACACTGAAGGGCACTGCTAACAGATTTAACTGTAGTCCTGTTTGGCTTCTTAGAGCACTTTACGCCCAGGTGGCTGGGTTGTTAGTTTAACCACAAAGAAGCCGTTATCATTTATAACTACATCTGGACAAGTATCTTCAAATAAATAGCATAGAACTAGATCCTGGTGTCCCACCCCGCCCCCTTTAGCTCGGCAACATTTAACGGCCACTTAAGTAAATGAAGATATTAAAATCTTAGATCCATTTAACTAGATGTTGATTCTTCGCCAACTGAAGCAGAAAAAACGGCATGAAACTTTGAAGGTTTATGAAAATGATTTGATAGGCAGAAAGACCTTAAGCTCACAAAGCCGATCTGGAATCTTACCAGGACTTAACCGATCATGACAGGCGAGGAAGCCTTATTCAGTGCAGAGGGTCCTTAAAAAAGCATCAGCGCCCTACATAACCAGCAGCGCCCGGCACAGGAGCAGCGACTCGCTGCCCTTTGGCAGAAACCGGGGCATTTTCACAGAAATCGACTAATTGGCACAAAGTGAAGATCCGTTAGGTAACTCGAAACTGAGAAGTTCTGGAATGTGCTCTATGTATTACAATACAGAAAACCACTCAATGGTGACAAACCAGGAGGGCGCTTTGGGATCAAGACGTTCGCTTCCCGCAGTCCCTCCCGCCCACTCGCGCTTTCTCTCCCCGTTCTTAATGGGGGGCTACACCACGCGTGGCCGAGGCTGGAGGCGTAGGGAGCCCAGGTTCTCAAGGGATTCGTGGTCTTTTAGATAAATCGGGGTTGGTGAGGTTCTCGAGTCACGTTCGCGAACGCTTCCCGCGTTCTAACTTAACCCGCCCGAATGGGCCCTGGGGACAGACGCCGGGTGCAGCCAGCCGGAAGGTCGCGGACGCCCCCCCGCCTCGGAACTCCGGACGGGAGCGGCGGGGAACCACGCAGAGTGCGGAATGGCCGCGGCGGGGCCGGGCCGGGCCGGGCCTGGCCTCTCCACTGGGAGGCCGAGAGCCGGGCGACCGCTCCCGCGGCCCGGCATGGCGGTCAACGCCAGGCCGGGATCCACACACCAACGAGGGGCGGCGAAGCCCACACACTAGGGAGGAAGAAGACGCGGGACCATAGCCTCAGTCCTTACCATGGCGCGGGCGCCGGGGCTTCCGCTGGCTGGGCCTGCGCGTTGGGCGAGGGGCGAGGGGCGGGGAAGACCAGCGCGCGTTTGATTTTGGCGCCGCCGACACCGCGGGGGCGGAGCAGCGAGACCGGGAAGGTGGGGGAGGAGGCCGGTCCTCGGACGCGCGGCCCGCAGCGACCCCTAGCGGTCCATCCGAACAGCCGGCGGGGGAAGGGGCGCGGGCCTGGGGCCGGGGCTGGGGGAGCTTGTCCGCGTCTCACCCGACCGATTACAGAGCTGCCTCCGTCTCCTCGGTATTCTGTGAATGTGACTTTTTTTTTTTAAAAAGGACATCTTGCCTTTGCTTTTACTGCGTTTTCTTGGCGCCGCAGAAATCTGGCCTAAGTTTGGATTTAAAAAATAGAGGCGTTTTAGGCTGCTGAGGAAGTAAACGCTTCCTCCATCCTTGCGGATTTGTCTTGTCTGGGGCTGACTAGATTCCTTTCTTCTAATCTGTCTTCTAATCTGACCTCTCATCTTCTCCCGCAGCCGCTACCCACTGCTTTCCAGCTTTTCAAATCCTGTGTATGTCTGTTTTTCCCTTAGGTTTTAAAAAAGAAGGAAACAACGGAATAAATTTCGAATCAAAATGGTCAAAAATACGCTATTTCATGGCTTGAGAATAGATGCAGATTCAGAGCAAAAACTCAGGCCCCTGAAAGTGCTGAAAACATTTCACTGAGAATTCAATTATTTTCAAAATTATTATATGGTGTTTTGAACCAGTTTTAGGTGTAAGAAGTACGGCCCGGCGCAGCGGCTCACACCTGTAATCCCAGCACTTTGGGAGGCAGAGGCGGGCGGATCACTTGAGGTCAGGAGTTTGAGACCAGCCTGGCCAACATGGTGAAATCCCATCTGTAATAAAAATACAAAAATTAGCCAGGCATGGTGGCGGGCGCCTGTAATCCCAGCTACTCGGGAGACTGAGGCAAGAGAATCGCTCACTGCAACCAGGAGACAGAGAATGCAGTGAGCCAAGACCGCACCACTGCACTCCAGCCTGGGTGACAGAGTGAGACTCTGTAACACACACACACACGGACACACACACTATAGTAAGTCGTGTAGATACTGTTAAGAGTAGCATCTAAAATCAGAATTTATGGCCCCTGTTGCTTCTGCTGGAGGCAGAGGAAGGGATACATTGAATTGCAGAGTTCCATTAATTTGGTTTTTCCTGTAAGAGCTATACCATGTAATTGATGATACATAAGGTAATTTTAAAATGATAAATGAGTACATTAAGTAACTACAGTAATGGTATATAAATTTGTGCTATTTGGGGAAAGGCTTGTCTTAATTGGCTCTCAGGCTTGTTGCAGGTGAGTGGTGACTATCTGAGGCCAGTGGCACTGGGGTAAAAAAATTTACCAAGACAGTTGTAGGTAAAGAAAGGCAGAATCATTAGAGAAAGTATGAAAATACGTTGCAAGGGAGCAATGGGCAGAATCAGCAGAAAAGTGGCTGACTGCAAGGATTTTATAGAATAGTGCTTATGCTGTATACGGAAGAGGGCTTTGTGCAGTACTGATGTTACAGTCCCAGGTTTTCCTTAGCCCCTGCCTCTGAAGCGACACAATGCAAAAGCCTGCCCTGGGACAATAACAAATTGACCCAAACAGGTCTTATCTTGGGAAAAATGAGTGCTAAATGGATATAAAAAGCATTGGTCACTTAAGCTGCATCTGTATCCTAAGTGTCACTGAGAGCTGCTGTGACAGTTCTCTGAAATTCCTGGTGTGCACTGCAGTCTTGATCAACCAAACCTGGGAATGACCACCACCAAGGAAAGGAGACACATACTACTGCCTCTGGTTCCTTTGCCTTTTCAGTACGAATATCTCAATTTTCAGATAACCTTCCGATGCCCCTTCCTTGACATTCTGAAAAGTATGGCTTATAGTAGCAGCTTATTTATTTAGAGTTGGAGTTTCGCTCTTTTGCCCACCCTGGAGTGAAGTGGTATAATCTTGGCTCACTGCAACCTCCAACCCCCAAGTTCAAGCGATTCTCCTGCCTCAGCCTCCTGAGTAGTTGGGATTATAGGTGCCTGCTACCACGCTCAGCTGATTTTTGTATTTTTGGTAGAGATGGGGTTTTACCATGTTGGCCAGGCTGGTCTCGATCTCCTGACCTCAGGCGACCCACCCGCCTTGGCCTCCCAAAGTGCTAGGATTACAGGTGTGAGCCACCATGCCTGGCAGAAGGAGCTTATAAAGGAAATAGGAAAACAAAGTCAAGTCACTTGGAAGAGACTGAGGAAAAAGTCTACAATGTAGGAAAACAAGTTGGAGAATGCAAAACCAAGAGAGGAGAAAATTTTAAGAGAAAAACTTTAGACAAATTAAATGAGTTCCACTCTGCAACTTGGCCAGGGAGGTTTTGTTGTTGTTTGTTTTGTTTTTTTGAGACAGGGTTTCACTCTGTCACCCAGACTGGAGCACAGTGGCACAATCATGGTTCACTGCAATCTAGAACTCCAGGGCTCAAGGGATTCTCCTGCCTTGCCCTCCCAAGTAGTTGGGACTACAGATGTGCATAACTACGCCTGGCTAATTTTGTTTTTTTAATTTTCTATAGAGATGGTGTCTCCCTATGTTGCCTAGGCTGGTCTAGAACTCCTGGATTCAAGCAATCCTCCTGCCTTAGCCTCCCAAAGTATTGGGATTACAGGTGTGAGCCATGCCTAGCCAACAGGAAGTTTTTATAGACAGAAAAGGGAAGTGAGTTACAGAAATAGCTTGACTGATTACAGCTCCTTGTTTGAATTATTTGGCTATTGTCGGCAGCCTGCGGGCTGAAGCTCAGCTACTTGTGATTGGCTGAGAATTGGGGGTTTGTTATACTTCACGCCTGGTTTTCAGTTTGTGTACCAAGTTAGGTTGCAGTTCCTTACAATTCCTTAGGTAGGAACTCAAAGTATGGAGACAGCCTCAAGCCAATGGCCTCCTGCTTATTTAACAATTTTAAGGAAGAAATAGTCAACATTATCAACCTGTCAGTCACAACACAACTTCTGAGTTAGAAATGGCAATGCAATCATGTCATTTGTGTAGGGTATCATTCTCAATGGGATGACATCAAAATGGATTCCTGGGAGACAAAAAGATCTTAGATGGTTTGTGCTCCAGTGGTTTGTGACTCTCGGTGCATAAACAGATGTACAGTATTATCTCTGGCATTAAAATTTCATGGGACTGGGGATGGCATTGTGAACAGGGAAAAAACATCTAAAAAAGTTCTTTATGGGGATGGTAATGAGAAAAAAGGTTGAGAAAGACTGGTGTCTAGTGAGTATATAATTTATCATCCGAACTGAGACACTTCTGAGAATGGAAGGGAATGCTATTCCTATTTACGCTAGGACACAGGCATAAAGAGGATTGTCCCCATCAACTATGCGATAACTTGAAACTTCCATTAAACTTTATTATTATACTTTATTAACCCTTCTCCGTGGCTCTTTAATTTTCTCTGTTTTATAGTTATTGTTCTAATCATTCCATCTGGAATGTAAACTCCTTAAGAACAGGCACAGTAACATACTCTTTATAATTGTGCCTCATCACTAATTTCTTCTTGAGAAATTCTGTGGTCTCGCCATATCAGACTGTTTGTTATTCCCTGAACAACTCATGCTCTGGTGCCCTCTTTTAGCACAAGCCTGGGGGGGGTCTGAGTTCCAGGGTGTGACTCCAGGTGCCTGTGAGCGTCTACACTCACTCAACAAGTATCCCTATGGCCAAGAGAGTGTAACATTAAGTAGCAAATAAAAAACACGGTGACTGGTGGAGACACTACAGAAGAAAGGAAAATGTTTTTTTCATGCTTCTTGAACAAGAGGCCTTGCATTTTCATTTTGCACCAGGCTCTATAAATTATGTAGCTAGGTCTATATGTATTCACTTATTTGTCTCATCCCAGTAAAATAAAAGTCCGTGAGAAGAGAAGCTTTTTTTGTTTACTGCTATTCCCTAGTGAGACTAGCATAGTACCTGAACATTCTGCACTCAGTAAATATTTGCTAATGAATAAAGCAGTTTATGGTATTGCAAGTATCTGGTCTGTTTCTCCAAGCAGGCTATAAGCTCTGCCGAGGGTACAGGCTTCAGTATTCATCCTGGTATCCCATCCACCTAGCCAAAAGGCTGGTGGACCAAAGGTGCTTAGACATTTGTTTGATCAGTGACTTTAACAGTGAAAAACAGACAGAAGGGTGAGAACATCAGATGTCCACTTGCCCTTCCAGTCTCCTTAGGCAAAACTGAACTTGTTCTCTCCTCTGGAAAGGGATGCATCTGGCTTCATGTGAAATGTGCTCCTGGAGGACAATCTCAGATACGCTGAACTAAAACATGGGGCAAGTGGCTTATGGAGGGACCCACCCTCTCTGATTCTGAAAACCTCCAAGGAGCCCATGATGGTGGCCTGCTTGGGTAAAAGAAAAAACAAATGAAGAATGGAAGTAGAATTCAATAATATTAATATTTACAATTCATCGTCAGCAGTGTCACTTTTGATCTTTTTTTTAAAGAGACAGTCTGTTACTATGTTGCCCAGGCTGGTCTTAAACTTCTGGGCTCAAGTGATTCTCCCACCTCAGCCTCCCAAGTAGCTGCCACTCCAGACTCTGCCACCATACCTAGCTCCATGTTAGGTATTTCTAATTTCCGTTGTTTCATCTCTCCTTCCAAGACTGACTTATGTAACCTCTTTCAGAGTTTCCATCTATGCTGGATTTTTTTTAACCCTCAAGAAAACAAAACCAATTTTTATTGTGTTCCGTCATTGTTCACAATCACGCCTGTAATCCCAGCACTTTGGGAAGCCAAGGCGGGGGATTGCTTGAGCTCAGGAGTTCAGACCATCCTGGGCAAAGTGGTGACTGCATCTCTACAAAAAATTTTAAAAATTAGCCAGGCGTGTTGGTGAGTGCCTGTAGTCCCAGCCACTTGGGAGGCTGAGGTGGAAGGACTGCTTGAGCCAGGGAGGTCGAGGCTGCAGGAAGCCATGATCACACCACTACACTCTAGCCTGGGCAACAGAGCCAGACACTGTCTCAAAAAAAAAAAAAAAAAAAAGGTAGTCAGGTTTTTGTGTATCTATAACTTTCTAAATGTACATGTTCTACATATGTATCAGGATTTTCCAAATTCCTACTTAAGATACATCCTAAATACTAATGGATTATTAATGTCACAGCCAGCAAAAATTTTCTTCAGCTTTTCCTCACTAGTATAAATAGTCTGGTTGCAGTGTTGCTATCTTCTACAGATTCCAGGACGTTCTTCAGTTTCCCTTCAGGTAGAGAATATATTAAATAAATATTCACTTTGCAAATGGAGAAATATTAAATAAATAAATATTCACTCTGCAAATGGAGAAAACAAGCTTTATTATAATGATTTGAGATTTTGTGCATGGTAAAGAGATACACATGAATCTTGTTTCTCCTATGTTTCAAGACAGAATTAATTGAAAGTTTCATTGTAGACTAAAGCATCCAAAATACTGTGGTACGTATGTAGCTACGAACATACAAACACTTTGATGCACAGCGTTCATTCTTTTCTTTAAATAGGCAGTCAACATTTGGATTCATAAAAGAACAAATGACGAGAATATATCAGTATCAATGTTAGAGAGTGCAAGACTTAGTGTTCTATACACAAAACATATGAAACAGACCTATAAAGATGGAATGTACAAAATCTAAAAAGAAAACAAAGCAAAAAAAAAAACGCTTCATATTCATACATAGGCTTGAAAGTCTATAGAATTGAGAATGATATAAAGAATTCTATTACAAGAATACACTCCATTGATGACAGAACATTCCCATGTCATAAAGCAAAAGCATTGAGTTTAAGGCTGTGTTGCTTTCAAAAGTTAATGGAAGTGCTGTACATTCATTGGAACAACATAGCCAATTTATTAATCTATTCTAGAATATTAATAGCTTTCATACATTCTCCACGAACAGACCACACAATCACTGCCACACAATTCATCTTTAGAAAGTTTTTAAGATAGCATCATGATTTGTAGCTTACTGTCATTGAAAACAAAACAAATAATTCTTTATTTATACCAAACAAATCTTTGATGGGCACTTAGTTTCCTTTATGGCAATACTAGATTTCTAGTTATCAAAAATATTAAAGTAATTATAAAGTTTAAAACCCTGCAACATTTACAGAAACCAACAGTATTACCACTTTTGCTTTTAAGCTAAATTAGATAATGTTTGCATGAAATAGCTTTAATTTTATCCTACCTGGAGATGTCTTGTTTTTAAATTATTAAATTATCAAACTAAAAATACTCCTCCCTTTTCAGAAGCTAGTGAATAGAGAGGATACTATAGAGTCTACAAAAAGATTTTTCCCATTTGAAGTAATCTGCAGATTACCTAATGTTTATTTACTACTTCCTCCAATTAACTAAGTAGGTATTACCAAAGCATTTCTGTTAACCCTTCAGTGCTAAGGATTCATAGATACTTGCAGTGTACTGCTATTCCAGTTAACTCCGTGTTAGGACATACCCTGTATATTTAGTAGTGGAAGCAAGTGTGTTCTAGCTGCATGGATCTGGAGTATTTATTTGCCTCAAATCTAGTCACAGTAAATTAAAATAAGGAAACTTAGGGACTTGTTTAGTTCTGGAGACTAAAGTTTGATCAAAATACTAAGTAACATTAAAAAAAATGGCATACAGTCATAAAGGACTTATAGTCATGTATTTCTGGATGGTCAAGTGACTCTCTGCCTCCCCATGTCCAGCAAGGGGGGGTGGGGGGTCTGTACTGGGAGGAAATACATCGTCACTGACCTTGAAATCCCAACTGGCAATATTTTGCCTTACGTGCCCAGGGGAAATTTGAATGAGTAATTTTTCAGTGCTACTTATCATGAATGTATGACAGGTTCTATACACTTGACAAAGAGAAATCAAACAATAATGGTAGCCCAGAAAAAAACCACTTATTTTAATATCCTTCTCAGTTTACCAGAAACCATTTTCCATAGAATGTGACAAAATTTCATTTAAATTTTGTCTAGTTGTATCATATCAGCAGCACTTTACCCCAAAAATATGCTTACCAAGAAATACAGTAAATGCACATATGTATCCAAGTGTGAAATGTTATCTATACTTTAATATATATAATCACATATTTTTTGGAAAAAATATAGTGTTTCCTGGAGTGCCCATAGCATGTGTTTTAGCAACACATAGTGGAGCAGGTCTGAATCAAATTATTCTTTCATTCCAGTTTATGCCAATATTGACATATAAAAAAAATTAGCTTTGTATTCAGTCTACTATTGAGATATCTAGCCTGATAGGATATGATATGATGGCTAGTTAGATTGTAAGTTAATTTCTAAGTTCACAAATATAATTTAAATGTTGTGTAAAAAACCTCTTTAAATCAACTAGTTTAAAGATCAACAGCCTGGGACAGAAAGACTCTAAATAGAAAGCCATCTTTTACTTGTGAAAATAAACTAAAATTAATGTAACCAATTTAAAAAGTTTATTTTAAACAATCTAGACAAGAGTCTAGCCTGTCTTTTGTGAAGAATGTTAGCACACAGCAAAATGAAATTCCCACCCCAGAATGTCAGCTCTGAGTGGGCAGAGATTTTTACCTGTTTTGTCTATCACTGTATTTCCAGCGCCTAAAAGAGTACTTGGTACCTTGTAGGTACTCAGTAAATATGAATGTTTAAATTCAAAGATGTATCTCACTGATGTTAGGAAACAGTGTCTTCATTTAACATTCTAAAAAGTTATTGAATTTTATAGCTTTATCATAGACAGGCTCAAATATTTTTTAAAACTCTACCTAACTAAAAAAAAGATTAAACCTAAATGTAAATCTTCCTGGAAAAACCTTTTTTCAGAGGCTGATTTGGGCATAATAAATTTAATAGGCAATTTGACGTAGCTAGATTTCCCTTCTAAATTTTAAGAAGTCCTGTATAGAGAATGACTGAATTATAAATTAATAAGCAATAAACATCACATTCATATACATAGGGGAAACGTTTTCTTATAGTACAGTTCTAAGGTGCTTTCAGTGAAGAAGACCCCAAGTCACCATCAAAAATGTCAAACATGACATCCTATTTGGTAGAACTGAGTAGAAAATTAAACAGTGGAAACAGACCACAGCTTGTTTTACAGTACCAATGACAGATGCACGATTGACTAAATTGTTCTTAACATTTCTCAAAATGCATTTATATTTAAATTAAATGTAACTCAAGTTCAACTTTTCTTTTGACCTGTTGGGTTTTTTTCTTTTTTCTTTTTTTTTTTTTTTTGAAAGCACAGAAGGCCATTTTCTGACTAAAAGTCAGCCACCACCATCATTCCTGGAAAAATGGCAAAAATTAAATCTGCTTTAGGGCTTGCTCCACTAGGACGGCTTTAAACTGCTTAGTAAAGGAATGTGCTGAAGAATGGCTGGACGAAGCTTCTGTCTTTCAGAGTGCTGCCTATTTCAATACACCAAAGATTCAGCTATATATATGTGTGTGTGTATATATATATATATAATACATTCTATCTTACCCTAATCATGTATACATAGTCCCTTGACACCTCTACTATTCATTAAACAATGATAAATAACCATAACATGCCCTTACCTGTAATGCTTTCAAGATAACACAACTTTGGTAACACTTGCTTTCTAAGGGGAAATCATTTATCAATCACATGCCTTTGGTTGACACCATCAGTCCTCCAAAGGGCTACTTATGGCTCTCTGTCCTAGGATACTGGTGTCCTACTACATGTGCTGACATTTGCAGGAGGTAAAGCTTTCGCTTTCATGAAGTCGAAGAGGAGAGACACGTGTGAAAACATGGTACACAAAACATGACTAACTTTTTTTGATTACATTCCAGTGCAATGATCTGGAGTTAATGGGGCAGTTTGTTTCCCAAAAGGTAGCATTACTTTTGTAATATACTTTTCAAAGCATTAGAAATTTCAGGTTTCCCTGAAGATGTACTTTGTTTTCTGATACAAGGTGAGCCAAAAAGAGGTGGTGAAAAGAACACACAAAAAAGGATCTTTGTCTAACCCAGAAAGGTTGAGAAATTTGCACTGATTCTTAAGTACTGAACTCCAGAGGCCTGCTAATCAGAGCTGGGATCATTTTGCAAGACAGCCTTTCTTTTTCTAAAGTAATTTGTATGTAGTTGCTGATAACCAAAAAAATGTCACAAGAGTAATACCTACTGTAAAAGTGAGGTTAGAAGATTCCCTGGGTCTTGTGACCTAGGTTAAATGAAGTATATAACTACAGATTTTGTTTTTGTTTTGCTTTTGGAAGTTCTGTGCAAAAGCTACCATTCACAGGATTAACAAATACCTTTACATATGCTAGTTTTTTTTTTAAGTGTCTGATTTGCAAAATTAGTTTAGCTACATAAATCCTGTCCCTTAAGCCATAGTTCACAGATGTAAAACTGCAGTTTATAGATTCAGTAGAAGAGGTTTTTTTTTAACCCTAAAGGTGAAATACAGAAATTGGATAAGCAGTTTTTAAGGAAATTGTTACATTCAGAAATAACCTTGGAAAGTTCACCAATGATTCCTTCTGGCATAAAAATCCTAGTCATAATCTGGTCCCACACTGAGAAATCCATTCCAGTTTATAGTGCAAGACCTTGAAAGCGGGTATCCAGCTGCCCACCATTACTGTAAGTATCGATAGACTTTGAAACAGTGATTTCCAGAGTCTGCAACCACAACATGACCATCTGAAGTTAGGGCCAGGCCTTGGGGGCCATAGAGTGGGTCAGCAGATGTGTTAATGTAGGACAAAAATGATCCACTCCCATCAAAAACCTGTAAACAAATAGGAAGTCAGAATGTTATAGGAGAAGTTATAGTAATATGCTGAACATGAGTTAGAAAACTCTTGATGCTAGTGTTTTTCTGTTTCTTGTTTTTTTTTTTTTTTTTTTTTTTTTGACACGGTCTCACTCTGTCACCCAGGCTGGTGTGCAGTGGTGTGAAGACAGCTTACTGTAACCTCTAATTCATGGGTTCAAGTGATTCTCCTGATTCAGCCTCCCAAAGTGCTAAGATTACAGCCATGAGCCATCATGCCCAGTGTATATGCTTTTATACTGAAAACATTAGCATAAGCCAGGTGCAGTGGCTTACACCTGGAATGCCAGCACTTTGGTAGATGAAGTTGGGAGGATCCCTTGAGGCCAGGAGTTTAAGAACAGCCTGAGGAAAATAGCGAGACCCTGTTAAAAAAAAAAGCAGAAAAAACAAAACAAAACAAAAAATGCACTTAAGTAATCATCTATCCATCTATGGATATGTCTTTGTTTATGTCACTATCATATCTATAATCCTGCTCTCCACTTACCTTGCTTTCTCTCCTCTCCCGATCTATTTCCAGTTGGTGGAGTAGAATATGCCATTGGCTGCTAGCTTTCACTCGTATTCCTATAGTGGTCACAACAAATATTGGGTGGGAAGGGCCCTAGATGGTGCTTAAAAAATGAATGAACCTTACTGTTCACATGAAATCTTCACTTATTCCCACTTCCAGTCTCACATCTCCTTTTCCTCCCCCCCCAATTATAAGGGGAAAAAATCAGCAACTAGATAATGGAAGAATGTTCCTGAGTCATAACAGCAATGAGACAGTAGAAATTGTTTTTTCCTTTTTAGAAAAGAGTGGGTTGTAAGAAGTCAATGGTTCAACATGTAAAGTCATCCCCTGGTATCCCAGGAGATTGATACCAAAATCTTCAGATTCTCAAGTCCTTTATATAAAATAGCCTAGTATTTGCACCTAACCTATTCACATCCCCCCACATATTTTAAATAATCTCTAGATTACTTCTAATACTTAGAGCAATGTAAATGCTATATAATGTAAATAATATGATGTATTTTCACAATTTGTATTATTTTTAATCACTGTATTTAACAAATTATTTTTCCTGAAATTTCTGATCTGTGTTTGGTTGAATTCACAAGTGTGGGATTTGCGAGTACAGGGGGGATGATCATACATTTGGATGTGAAATCACTTTCTTTTGGTCTGTCGGTTTCTGCTTTGTTATTTTTGTTAAATTTTTATTTTGAAATAATTATAGATTCATAGGAAGTGGCAAAGATAGTAGAGAAAGGTCCTGGGTACTCTTCACTCAGTTTCCCCCAATGGTCACATCTTCTGTAATTATAGTACCACACAAAACCCAATACATTGACTTTGGGTTGTGTGTGTACAGTTTTACGTCATTTTATCATGTGTGTAGATTTACCACTGCAACCAACATACAGAATTATCCCATCAACATAAAGATCTCCCTCTTGCTACATCTTTGTGGTCATACTCACTCCCCTTTCCTCACATCTCTAATCCTTGCCAATCACTAATCTGTTTCCCTTCTTTATAGTTTTGTTATTTTTTTGAGAATGTTACACAAATAGAATCATATAGTATGTAACCTTCTGAAAATGGCTTTTCTTCACTCAGCATCATGCCCTTGAGATGCATCCGAGTTGTTGAGTGTATCATTAGTCTGTTCCGTTTTAATGCCAAGTCATATTCCACAGTATAGATATACCAGTTTGTTTAGTCATTAACCTATTGAAAGACATCTGGGTTATTTTCAGTTTTGGGCTATTACAAATAAACCTTGTATGAACAACAATGTGCAGGTTTTTGTGTGGATGTAAGTTTTCACTTCTCTGAGACAACCAGGAGTGTAATTTATGGGCTGTGTGGTAAGTATATGTTTAGTTTTTAAAGAAACGGCCAAACAATTTTCCAGGCTGACTGTAGTTTTGCATTTCTACCAGCAATGCATGAGAGATCTAGTTTCTCTACATGCTCTCCAGTGTTTGGCATTATTAGTATTTTTAATTTTAGCTATCCTTATAAGTGTGCAGTAATATCTCACCATGGTCTTAATTTGTACTTCCCTAATGTCTAGTGATATTGCACATCTTTTTATGTAAACATCCTCTTCGGTAAAATTTCTCTTAATGCCTTTTGCTCATTTTTCTTTTCTTCCTTTTTTTTTTTTTTGAGATGACATTTCATTCTTGTCAGCCAGGCTGGAGTGCAATGGCGTGATCATGGCTCACTGCAACCTCCACCTTCTGGGTTCAACTGATTCTCCTGCCTCAGCCTCCCAAGTAGCTGGGATTACAGGCACACACCACCACATCCAGTTAATTTTTGTATTTTTAGTAGAGATGCAGTTTTGCCATTTCGCCAGGAAATGGTCTCAAACTCCTGACCTCAGGTGATCCACCTGCCTTGGCATCCCAAATTGCTGGGATTACAGGTGTGAGCCACAGCACCCGGCCACCTTTTGCTCATTATTCTAATTGGATTGTTTGATTATTTTACTAATGAATCTTGAGAATCTTTACATTCTAGGTATAATTCCTTTGTCAGAAATTCAGTTGGTAAATATTTTCTCTCAGTCTGTTGCCTGTCCTTTTAGCCTCTTAAAGGGATCTTTCACAGAGCAAAAGCTTTTTTTTTTATGAAATCCAATTTGTTAATTGTTTTTCTTTTATGGATTATAGTTTGGGTATTATGTCTAAAAACTCTTCACGGAGCCCTAGGTCCCAAAGATTTTCTCTTAAATTATTCTAAAAGTTTATCTCCTCAAACATTATCTTCTAAAAATGTTATAGTTTTATCTTTTACAGTTAAATCTACAGTCCAATTTGAGTCAACTTTTTGTACAAATTAACGTTCATTTTTTTTTTCCTCTGTGGTGGTCTTAGTTGTTCCAGTCCCATTTGTTGAAAAGGCCATCATTCCTCATACAAAATTGCTTTTGTATCTTTGTCAAAATACGATAGGCTGTACAACTGTGGGAGTGATTTCTAGATTCTCTATTCTGTCCCACCGATGTATGTGTCTATTCCTCCACCATATTACATACGCTTGATTATGGTAACTATATAGTAAGTCATATAGCTTCCCCTATGGGTTAGTAAGGGTAGAGTGATTCCTCTCAATTTATTCTTCTTTTTCAAAATTATTTTAGCTATTTCCTTTCCCTTGCCATATAAATTTTAAAATAAGATTTATATTTGCAAAAAGTCCTGCTGAGATTTTGTATTAAACCTGCATATTAATTGAAGACAACTGACATCATTGTTGAGTCTTGCAATCTATGAACACAGTTGTTTCTCCATTTACTTAGACGTTCTTTGATTTCTTTTGCCAGCATTTTATAGTTTTCAGCATACAAATATTTAATATGTTTTGTTGTTATACCTAAGTATATATTTTTTCCGTGATTCTAAATGGTATTGTGTTTTTAATTTTGGTTTTCACTGTTTGTTGCTAGTTTATAAAAACATAATCGATATTTTTGGTTTTTCTTAAGAGACAGGGTCTTGTTCTGTCACCCAGGCTGTAGTGCAGTAGCACAATCATAGCTCACTGCAGTCTCCAGCTCCCAGACTTAAGGAATCCTTCTGCCTCAGCCTTCTGAGTAGCTGAGCCTATAGACATGTGCCACTATGTCTGGCTAATCTTTGTATTTTTTTTGTAGAGATAGGGTCTTCCTGTGTTGCCCAGGCTACTCTCAAACTCCTGGCCTCAAGCAATCCTCCCACCTTGGCCTCCCAAAGTGCTGGCGTTACATGCATGAGCCACCATGCCCGACCATAATTGATTTTTGTATGTTGATCTTGTATTCTGCAATCTTGCTGAACTCACCTATTGTAGGAACTTTTTTTGTAAATTATTTGGGATTTTCTTTGTAAACATCATGTTATCTGCAAGCAGGGAGAGTGGTTATTCTATTCTAATTTGTAAGCTTTTTATTTCCTTTCTACCTTTTGTGCTGGCTAGAACTTCTAGTATTATATTGAACAAGAATGGTGAGACATCCTTGCAGACATCCTTGCTCTACAGGGAATGCATTCAGTCTTTTACTATGAACTATGGTGTTAGCTATAGGTTTTCATAGATGTTGTTTATCAAGTTGAGAGTCTTTCTTCTTAGTTTTCTGAGAGTTGAATGGGTATTAAATTTTGTTAAATGATTTTTCAGTGTCAATTGATATGATCATTTAGTTTTTCTTCTTTAGAATTTTAATATGGTGGATTATTACATTGACTGATTTTCTTTATTTTTATTTTTATTTTTTAAAGGGCAGCCTCCCAAGCCAGAGTAGCTCAGAGACTCCCTGATTTTCTAGTACTAAACTAGTCTTGCATTCCTGGAATAAACTCCACTTGGTCATGGAGCGATTTTTACATATTGCTGAATTATATTTGTTAATATATCTTTAAGAATATTTACACACAGGAGGAATATTGGTGTGTAGCTTTCCTTTTTGTACTGGCTTTGGTAACAGGGCTTCAAAAGCTGATTGGAAAATGAGTTGGGAAGTATTCTCTTATCTTCTATTTTCTGGAAGAAATTATATACAATTGTTACTAAATTCTTTAAACATTTGGTAGAATTCCATGGTGAAATCATCTCAGTCTAGACATTTCTTTTTGGTGTTTTAAAATTATGAATTAACTTTTCTTAATAGGTTAGAGGGTTATTCAAATTATTTCATACTGAAGTTGCGGAGTTGGTATTTTTTGAGAAGTTGTCTATTTCATCTAAGTTGTCAAACTTATGTATGCAGAGTTGTTCACAGAATGCCTTTATTATCCTTTTGATGTCTACAGGACATGTATTAATATTAGTATTTTGTGTCTTTTATTTCCTTTGTCAGTCTTGCTAGGGTTTTGCTGGTTTATCTTTTCAAAGAGCCAGTTCGCTATTTCATGGATTTTCCCTATTGCTTTTCTTTTTTGAATTTCATTTTTTTTTTTTTAATTTTTTGAGACAGAGTCTCCTTCTGTTGCCCAGGCTGGAGTGCAATGATGCAGTCTTGGCTCACTGAAGCCTCTGCCTCCTGGGTTCAAGTGATTCTCCTGCTTCAGCCTCCTGAGTAGCTGGGGTTGCAGGCGCCTGCCACCACACTTGACAAATTTTTTGTATTTTTAGTAGAGTCAGGATTCCACCATGTTGGCCAGGCTTGTCGCAAACTCCTGACCTCAAGTGATCTGCCTGCCTTGGCCTCACAAAGTGCTGGGATTAAAGGCGTGAGCCACAGCGCCCCACCTTTAATTTCAGCCTTGCTTCCTTCTGCTTGTTTGGGGTTTGCTCTTTTCTTTCTAGCTTCTTTGAGGTGGCAGCTTAGATCATTGATTTAACATGTTTCCTCTTTTCTAATAGAAGTATTTAGCATATTAATTTCCCTCTCAGCATTGTTTTTGCTAAATTCCACAAATTTTGGTATGTTCTATTTGCATTTTCATTCAGTCCAATATATTTTACAATTTTCCTTGAGACTTCCTCTTTGACTCGTGCGTCATTTAGCACAATAGTGTTTTTAAATTCATTAAACAAAACACATGGATTGTAAAAAATCATATTAAAATATAGCTATTAAAATATTACTAAATTATGATAGAGCAATATGGGTGTGCTTCTAAAAATTAGCATATTAAATAATAAGAAATAGTAATGGGTCTAATAATTACTGTAATTTTGAAGTAGTGATGAGAATAAGTGACAATTCAAGATTTTTGCAACTGATATGATATGAAAATTTCTGTGATTTTTCTTGGTGACAAAGTCATAGGCATTACTAAAATTACTATGATCGTTGCTTATATTCATGATTAAGGGAAATGATAATTTTCAGCCAGAGGTTCATAAAAATAATAATGTAATATTTTTGTTCAATGGCCCCCTTGAATTCTATCTTCAGACCCTTTGCGGGGTCTGTGGGGTCCAGGTTAAAACCCCGATTTAGAGGGTTTCACTCTGGTAACATTTTTTCTACTCCATGTTGCTGAGTTTGGTCCTTCTGGTGAGAGTATCTATGGTCCTATGACCTAACCAAAGGAAAAGAGAAACATTCCAGTTTGGGGGACAGCAAATTCTTCACTTTTAACAAATGCCAAACACTCTAACCATATACATTAGCACGTTGATCTACCTGGATCCTGCTGTTTCCCCAGTCGGCCACAATGATGTTTCCATTTGAATCCACTGCTACACCTGTTGGAGCATTAAACTGCCCATTTCCTTCTCCATTTGAGCCAAACTTCAACATGAATTCTCCTTCCTGATTAAACACCTGTATGAAATATTGTTAAATTATTTTGTTTTACATATAAATACTTGAATCAACATTATGGATTAAAAAATATCTGTTTGAGTAAGTTATTTATAACAAGATCCATGATTTAAGACATTCTAAAAAAAGAAAATAAAATCTACAAGATAGACTGCATATCATTGTGTTTCCCCAAATTACTGTATAAATCTGATTTATCATTTGTTAAATGATCATTTTTTTTGGCTTATGTCTGGTTATTAAATCCTTATGTGAAAGATATCTTTATTGTAAATTATAATACTATACAAGTTAGTATGAGTAAGAAACTCTATAATTTTCAATAATATTATTATTCCCACCTTTAAAGAAATTGCTAAATTTCAAGAATGGGCATTGTGTTGATATTTCTAACAGGATGGATGACTATTAAAAGTTGGATCAGAGAGTAGGAGTTTTTTGTTATGCCAGATGCTCAGAATTTATTATCATTTTACGACATCAACATAACTAGAAAGAGTAGGCTGGACTTCATACTTAGAATGGGAGAAATTCATTGCATGTGTGTGTGCACATGTGTGTGTGCACATGTGTGGTAGCAGCAGGTGAGAAATAAGAAAAGGGCTTTTTTATTTATCCTCAGAAGATATTTTAGTTCGAGAGTTTATATGATTCTAAGGGTTTGATGAATAGAAAAGTAGTTTCTATTACTCTATTTTCTATTACTCTTTTATCTCTCAGTAGAGAGAAGGGAAGCTGTTAGAAGAAGGGAGCTCAACAGAACTCTTAAGCAAATTCTCTATCATCTGATATGGCTAAGCAGTGGAGTGCTATGGTTAATTACATATTCTTACTAATAAAGTGCTACTAAATATGTATCAATACAGATCACTGATTTTGAAAAAAATATTAATGTTTAATGATAACACTATAGTAAGCATAATTGTATCTTGATGATTCAGATGATACCTAATGGTTTTGAAATGTCTCCAGGACATTATTTTTAACTTCCATTGTCATGATGCCTAGATGCATAGAAATATTCATTAACAAGTCAGAAAGTATTATGTACAAGGCACTTTGAGAGTAAGGTTTCCTCAAATGTAGAACTGAAAGAGTTCACTATATTTGAGTGTAGATCTTCATTTGGGGATGATCTCAAGACTTTTTAGAATGTCACTTGTTGTCATCTGATTTCAAAAGATCAAAATGACCATTACTTTTAGGTAAGTACCTTGGGAAAGTAGGACACTTCCATCTCTACAGGCTAAACTCACATTACGATAAAAAGAAAGAGTCATGGCTACTTCCTGAATTAATTACATACTTGCCAAGAAAGCAAGCAACCTCTGTGGTTCTTTAGAAAGGAACAAGGCAAGAACAACCAGCTTTTACTAAGATGCCATGTTTAAATTGTTTTTCTGACTCTTTTTGTCTCCTTTTACATAACACATTCTAGTTTTAAAGACCAATGGGAACATGTTTATGGTGGACACAATTTATTATTCTCTATTTTTTCCCTTATTAAGTCCTACAAATAATCTTTTTGTTTATCTTTCCTTTCTTTTTTTTTTTTTTTTTTTTGAGATGGAGTCTCATTCTGTCACTCAGGCTGGAATGCAGTGGTGCAATCTTGGCTTACCACAACCTCCACTTCCCGGTTCAAGCAATTCTCCTGCCTCAACCTCCTGAGTAGCTGGGATTACAGGCGCCTGCCATCACGCCCGGATAATTTTTGTATTTTTAGTAGAGACAAGGTTTCACCCTGTTGGCCAGACTGGTCTCGAACTCCTGACCTCAGGTGAGCTGTCCGCCTTGGCGTCCCAAAGGGCTGGGATTACAGGCGTGAGCTACTGTGCCCAGCCTTATTTATCTTTCTGAGTCAGACATAATCCAAATGACTCAAGTGGTTTTGCTTCATTTTGGGATAAGAAGGATGCCAAATCTAGTCTTACTTGTTTTGTGATGAAAAGAAAATATATTCTGCAGACAGCTAAGGAGCTAACTAGACCCCTTGTTAGCACTGACCTATAGATATGTTTTTTATACTTATCAACAGAGAAGTGACCTGAATTCAGAACTATTGCTAACTGCCCAGCATTACATGGGAATGAAAAACCCAAGTAATTCCATAAAACTTATTTGGCAATAGTTGTCAAAAAGAAGAGAAACGACAACAACGAAAGGCTATGGTTTTTTTAAACAAGAAGAAAAATGAGTTTAGATAAATAGCTAAAATAATCTACTTCTACCAAACTGAAAACTTGAAGAGTTTTCAGAATCTTAAGAATTATGAATGTTTCATATTTTCTATTTTTCCCGATTAAAATGCCATTTAATTACTTAAAAATTATTCACATGAAAAATTAAGAGGCAGAAGTATGAGTTTAGTTTTTTTTTTAAAGTTTTGCTTTTTACAATAAATATATAAAGCAATTTTTTAAAAAAAATCACCTTGATGATAGCCCTTTCCTGATTTCAAAATTCTGCTCATGTCAAATATCAGCTCCGCTTGGAAGTCTCCCCTGATAATCTTAATTAAGGAAATCTTCTCTTTTCTTTTGGAAAGTTAGGAAGCTTTATATGTGCCTATTTTATGAAACTATTTAGTGCTACCTGCCTTGCATTTCAGTTACTTATATATGTTTTAATTCTTTCTACAGTGTCAGCCAGGAGTGGTGAATAGGAGCCATCCCACATACCAATGCCAGTTGATTCTTAGAGGTTACCTGGAGCACTGGACAGGAAAGGCTCTGAGATCACAGTTCCACTTAGTAGAAAAGAGCAACTTGATTAATTATGACTGTCTTTCAGTTGGGAGTGGGCAGAACCTATGCAAGCATTTGCTGGCCTTTGTACTGTTAGGATCTCATATGGGTTTTCTTCTTGCTGAATGCCCTGTAGTTATATGAATGATTCCTCTACGAAGTGAGTGAGAGTAGGAAGTATGAGAACAACCTGTGTTATCCTTTGACAGTTGTGCTCATTCTCCAGGACGGTTATAACCCCCCCGGGGAGGCAGTCCCCAGCCCGGTTCCTGCTGCCTCTTTGCTCTCTACTCCCATCTCTCTTTGGCTATCAACTTTTTCCATTATCCTATTCCTTTTACCAAGACACTTCCCATGGACAGTAGTGTCGGCAGGGAATGCAGATTATCTGCATTTGAGTGTAGGGGGACCTGTGCCACTATGTGAGCATCTCTGGAGAGACAATATGGCAGGGAGCAGTTTCAGAAAAAAGCAACAGTGGGCACCTTGTTCCCTTATCCTGACCCCATTTCTGCAGCCCACTGTGCGCTACTGTCTGCACAGGGACTTGGCACCCATCAAAAAGGTCCAAGCCCTCTCCATTTACTCAGGTTAAAGGCTTTCCAGGATGTGGAAAGGACATCACAGACAGTACCTTTGGGTGTTAAAAATCTTACCCCTTATCTAGCTATCCCAATCATTAGCATTGATAAGTCATTATTTATTTTGGTTGCTCAATCATTTTCTCTAAGTGCAAACTTTACTCACTGGCATCCTCTGCTGTTTCCTTATTATTTTTCCTTTAAAATGACTCACCTTTTGAAATTTAAATGAATGTATTTAAAAGAAAAACTTTATTATGTCTATAAGTACAAAACAGCATCACTTGATGTAAACAAAAGGTAGCACTAAAATAAATGCATAACTTAAAATAAAAATATCTACGGTGCACTGCCTATGGTCACTGATCATACCTTCAGTGGAACATGCATCACACCTTGAGAAGCTTGATCTAGGATATTACTAAATATTTTCTCATCATTTCAGCAAGTGAGTAATTTGTTTTGAACCATTTTATTATTTCCTGATTTTCTCATAATAAAGTTCAAATCTCTCTCCCCTGGTACCTAGTAAGAAAGATATACTATGGGTCACTGTTTTCTAAAGAACACCAAATGTGTGAAAGCATTCTAAGAAGTATAAAATATATGAATGTATGCTAGGGTTATCCCCCTCCCCATGCCATCTGTTGTTGTAACAGAGCCAAATACCTATTTTTTTTAAACAAAAAGATGCAGAAAATTGAAAAAGTGATTTTAATTTATTGACTAGCCACAAAATATTAAGCTTCAGAAAGTTCTGCCTCTAAGTTCAATGAACTGCTTTTTAAAATTTAATTTTCAAGTCCTCTTCATTTGCACCAATTTCAAATTAAGCAACTTATTGCCACCACATTTTGTTCAATTTCCCAACTTTCCAAGGTCTGTAAGTCCAAATTAAAACCGGCATCCTTGAGCAGAAGCAAAGTCTACTCTTCTGGTTAACTCCCTTTGGTGCCATACGTAAGTACTGCATTATTTTCTCGCAGACCAATTTCTCCATAAAAGCAGTTAAAACTTAACAACAATTCATGTGCTTATAGTACCTTGACAGAATGATTATGGAAATCTGTAATAATAATCTCATTATTGCTATTTACAGCTGCAAAATGGGGACCTGCAACAAAGATGGAAAAAAATACGTGATGACTACAACAAAAGTGATTACATATAGCAGTTACTGTAACAATCACACAATATATTAACTTAGTTATTTAAGCAAGTACAAAGAATCACAGACTCAGTCTTTGAAAGATCATTCAGCCAGACCTCCAGCTCCAGATAACATGGATCCTATATTATTCTCTGCTTGTGCCAGTCTGTTCTGACTCCTTCCCAATCAGGCTGGGAGTTCTAGCAGCCCTAATGAAGTGGGAGGAGCAGTAAGCATCAGAATTCATTCTCCGTGCCACCATCTGAAAGTCAATCTGCCAGCTTCCCTGAGTATCTGTTAGTCATTTTAGAGCCCTCAGCTCCCACCGAGGAAAGACGTGGCAACTCAGCATTGGAAAAGGGACTCCAATATGTAATTTTAAAAAACTTGATTAGCTGGGCATGGTGGCACACGCCTATAGTCCTAGTTACTTGGAGGGCTGAGGCAGGAGGATCACTTGAACCCGGGAGGTTTAGGCTGCAGTAAGCTGAGATCATGCCACTGCTCTCCAGCCTGGGTGACAGAGCGAGACCCTGTCTCAAAAACAAAACAAAACGAAACAAAAGAACGGAAAACCCACACTATAATTCTGGGTGACATTCAGAACCTTGGCAGAACTGGAAACAAAGCACAAACAAATATTATGCAAATTAAACTAAGTGCCAAAAGCATCCTTTCAAAAAGAAAATTAATAAGCTATTTTCAGCCTCTTCTTGCAGATGCAAAAACCTAAATAAGCTTGTGATTGCAAAATGCTACACCAAAGAGACGTAAAACAGACTGCCCTCCTTAAACCTAGCAAATATTCTAGACTCCTGTTCTCTTACAATAACCTAGAAAGGTGAAAAAAAATTCTCATTCAGTGGCTTTTTAAGCAAAGCTACAGCTAGGCTGAAACAGTAGCTATTCCCTTGTTTTTCAAATATTTTTATTTTAAAATTTATACCTTATTTAATATGAATATTTCAAAGCTAGACTTCTGAGTTGTGAACTGCCACCAATAAAAACCACACATGGACTACAGCTCAACTTACTGCCGGGTGGGTGGTGGTGACTGAGAAGCAACGAACCATGCTTTTACTTAGATTTTATCCCCAGCATCTTTCCCAAAGCCAGCAAACACATTAGGTATGCGGTGTCTTCAACATGCTCCAACATCATGCAAATGTGAGCAGAAGAAACATAAAAAAGGGGGTTTACATATTACCATCGAGTGTACCTGCAAACTGCCTGTCCCCATTTCCTCGGCTACCAAACCTGGTGACTATTTTCCCATTTGGCTGGAAGATAAACACGCAGCACGCTTTGTTGTCCACAACAATAATGTGCCCATTGCGGTCCACAGAAACTCCTTTCGGTCCCATCAGCTTTCCTGATCCAATTTTTGTCTGTTAGAAACAAGTACAGAAATAGAAGTAGAGTATAGAGCCAAAGTTTAAACCACTACAGAACATGAAGATAAACACTGTTTTGGTCAACATTTACCTGAAGGTTCAAGCAGGTACACAGCTACTCATACATCACAATGAACTTCTGTCTTGGAAAACTGGCTTTGTCACATCCATTATCTGCTACTGATATCTATATAAATCCTTGTTCTTTTATTTATTTATTTATTTATTTGAGATGAAGTCTCATTCTGTTGCCCAAGCTGGAGTGCAGTAGCACAATCTCGGCTCACTGCAACCTCCACCTCCCGGGTTCAAGCAATTCTCCTGCCTCAGCCTCCTGAGCAGCCGGGACTACAGGCACGCACTACCATGCTCGGCCATTTTTTTTTGTATTTTTAGTAGAGACAGGGTTTCACTTTGTTGGCCAGGCTGGTCTTGAACTCCTGACCTCGTGATCCACCCGCCTCGTACTCCCAAAGTGCTAGGATTACAGGCATGAGCCCCCATGCCCAGCCCCTAAAATCCTTATTTTTGAAAGAGATCACCACCAAAAATAGTCTAGGATCCCCTAAACTGGGGTCACAGTTCCCTGCTGAAGAGGCAGTGTGGTCTGGTGAAAGATCACTGGATTATGACTTGGAACTTTGCTTGACGGAACTTCCATTGCTTGACTTAAACACACCTGGAATAGCACACATGGATTTCATTTCCTCAAACTTCCTTATACATTAAAAAATGTCCAAAAAATGACAACTCGACAACTCCCTATGGCATTTTTGGAAGATGTATTAAGTAGAATAAGGTAGGTAAAGGGTTTATTGTAGAGTGTAGCACATAGCAAGCAGTCACTGTAGGGAAGCCATCACTGTCATTGTTATAGATCATAATTAATATCAAAAATGCCCAAGGACTTCATGTCTAAAACACCAAAGCAATGGCAACAAAAGCCAAAAATTGACAAACGGGATCTAAATTAAACTTAAGAGCCTTCTGCACAGCAAAAGAAACTACCATCAGAGTGACAGGCAACCTACAGAATGGGAGAAAATTTTTGCAATCTACTCATCATGACAAAGGGCTAATACCCAGAACCTACAAAGAACTCAAACAAATTCAAGAAAAAAAACAAACAACCCCATCAAAAGTGGGCAAAGATATGAACAGACATTTCTCAAAGAAGACTTCATACAGCCAACAGACACATGAAAAAATGCTCATCATCACTGGCCATCAGAGAAATGCAAATCAAAACACAATGAGATACCATCTCACACCACTTAGAGTGGCAATCATTAAAAGTCAGGAACACAACGAGGGCCGGAGAGGATGTGGAGAAATAGGAACACTTTTACACAGTTGGTGGGGATGTGTAAACTAGTTCAACTATTATGGAAAACAGTATGGCGATTCCTCAAGATCTAGAACTAGAAGTACCATATGACCCATCCATCCCATTACTGGGGTATATACCCAAGGATTATAAACATGCTGCTATAAAGCACCGACGTGCACACATATGTTTATTCCGGCACTTATCCACAATAGCAAAAAGCTTGGAAATCCAAACCCAAATGTCCATCAGTGACAGAACGGAATTAAGAAAAGTGGCACATATCACACCACGCGACCAAGTATACTAATGCAGCCATAAAAATAAAGGATATATTTGTGTCTTGTGGGACATTGGATGGCAGCTGGAAACCATCGTTCTCAGCACCAAACTAATCGCAGACAGACAAAACCAAATACCGCATGGTTCTCGACATCATAGGTGGAACTTGAACAATGAGGATCACTTGACTGTGAGAGGGAACATCACACCACCGGGCCCTGATTATGGGGACGGGTGAGGGGAGGGATCGCATGGGTAGTATAACGCTGGATGTAAATAGACTGAGGGCTGAGTTGATGGGTTGCTGACGAGTTGATGGGTGCAGCACACCAACATGGCACAAGTATACATATGTAACAAACCTGCACGTTGTGCACATGTACCCTAGAACTTGAAGTATAATAATAAAAAAAATTTTTTTTTAAATAACAATAATTAAAAAAAAAATTGCCAGGCATCTCGCATTGAACTTTATGAGAATTAAGTTCTCTCTGGGCGGGAGTCACATGTGTTTTATTCACTTTTGTGTACTCAGAGGCAACACACTTCTTGGTGCATAATAAATATTCAATGAATATTTGTTGAATACATTAATTTTAAAAGTCTAGCATTATTATAGGGCAATCATGATGATTAAATGGCTCCACTTTTTATCATATTTTAAAATAGGGGAAAAGCATTTGATTTCTATCATATATCATATTTTAAATTTTATTCCTGTTCCTGAGTAGACTGTGGTGTGTATTTAAATGTCTATTTGCCATGAGATATAGGTCTTGTACATTTACTTTTCTTTCTATGACTTGAATTTCTAGACTACATATAAAGAAGTGCTTCACTCATTCACTTATTTATTTCCTAATTCTACAAACACTGCCCAAGCACCCACTATTGCCTGACACTGTATTCTAGGCATATGGCAAACAAACACAAATAAGATGTAGCTCCTGCCCGCAAGTATGTCTCAGTCATATTGCAGGGACAAACATGTCTACTGTATCTCTTTAAAGAGTCTGGTATTGAGTCTTCATTTTAATATACTTGGGAGAATTCAAATAGGCCATCTAAGAAGGCATGTGAAGTGATAAGTTGATGAGGCCACAGTAGACAAGGAAGGAGAAGGAGCACCCCAGGTGAGGAAACAGCAGGAGGGAATATATGTTAAGTCAGGGAAACTGTAAGAACCACAGTTCTCCCTGGCACCCAGGCTTGACGTGTTGGAGGGAAGTAGATCTATGTGTTTTTATGAAAGAACTCTCCGCCAGGCACAGTGGCTCACACCTGTAATACCAGCACTTTGGAAGGCCACAGTGGGAGGATCACTTGAGGTCAGGAGTTTGAGACCAGTCTGGCCAAGGTGAAACCCCATCTCTACTAAAAACACAAAAATTAGCTGGGTGTGGTGGCGGGTGCCTGTAATCCCAGCTACTCAGGAGGCTGAGGCAGGAGAATCACTGGAATCCGGGAGATGAAGGTTGCAGTTAGCTGAGGTTGCGCCACTGCACTCCAGCCTGGGTAACAGAGCGAGAGTCTGTCTCAAAAACAATAACAACAACAACAACAAAAACTCTCAGACATCTTATTAAACAAATTAAGGTAGGGAATGATGAGTGTAGTCTGAGTCCACGTGTGTTATATGTGTGCATGTATGTATATAGACTTCTGGAAGGAAAAGTGAGAAATCAGCGTCTATAGCTTAGAAAACCCCAAAAGTTATGCTTTAGCCTTCTTATTTTATCTCTCTATATTAGTGCTGTGTGATAGAAATATAATGTGAACCACATATGTATTTTTAAATTTTCTAGTAGCAGGATGGGACTTTTCCATGATGGGGACTTTAGACTTTATATGCTCCTTTTATTCTTCTAAGTTTATAAATGACGGAGATTCAGATTTCATCTCTTTAGAGCAAAGGAACACAATCACTTAGGAAAGAAACAGTGGTTTTCTTGGCAAAAGAAACTGCTGTGTAAATTTGATTCTGATTCTCCAATCTAGCCCAAAGATCAAAGAGGCTATAACATAATGGTAGGTAAAGAAATGGCATTTGTTCTTTCATGTCTAACTGAGGGTAAGTCAGCAGAGATCAAAAGGGAGAGAAGGCACTTCCATGATTAAAACAAGAATATTATTACTACTTAACATTATGAACACTTGCAGTTGCTTAGATGACTCAAACAAATAATATCAAATGGATAATTATCTAGAATAAAAAGAGAAAATAAAGGATTACTTCCATTCTATCACGTAGTGACAACTAGGGTAGATCTAAAAGAATAACTTAAACATTGAACCAAAATTTCTTTCCACTTCCCTTCATCACTCCTTGTTTAGTTGCACTGGATTCAACCAAGTGATCCCTGCATTTCCCTGATTGTGTCAACCCCATCTTAAACAGAATAGTAAACAAACAACAAACAAAATATATAAAATGGAATACTAAGAAGCAATAAAAAAAGGATGAGTTTGTGTCTTTGGAGGGACATGGATGCAGCTGGAAACCATCAGAGTTTCACTCTTGTTGCCCAGGCTGGAGTGCAATGGTGCGATCTCAGCATTGCAACCTCTGCCTCCCGGGTTCAAGCGATTCTCCTGCCTCAGTCTCCCAAGTAGCTGGGATTACAGGCACCCATCACCATGTTGGCCAGACTGGTCTTGAACTCCTGATCTCAGGTGATCTGCCCACCTCTGTCTCCCAAAGTGCTGGGATTACAGGTGTGAGTCACTGAGTCTGGCCCAGCAAAAATATTTTAATCCTGCCTTTGGAATGGTTTAATCAGGGTATTTAACTCAACAAATAGGTCTTTAAATTGAACAGGAAAGAGATGAGATATTTTACAGTAAGGTGGCCAGAGGTGTCTCTATTTGTTTGGATAGAAAAGGTTTCTTGATGGGCTGGATGATAGGAGGCAGTGGGGAAGATAGAATAAATTTAGAGGAAGCAGAGAGAAATAAAAATTAGGGCTAATAAATTGGTGAATAAAAGAAAGAAAAGGAGATAAGATGTTACATCTCTGGAACTACTAGGAATAAATACAAAGAGTCTATACTGGTGTTAAACGTATGTCTTTCTCAGCACCTGTTTAATTTTACTGAGTCCCACCACAGAAGAAAATAAGTATCTCTGCCTATACCTGTGGATATTCCACTTGGATGAACTCCTGTGAGGGTCCTAAAGTGTTTTCATGTGCTATCCTTTTACCCTTTGGGTTTTGATCAACACCTATCATAGAAAAGGGTATTGCTGAAACTACACCACCTCCACTCCCCCAGTCCTCTAGGGGGCATGAGTGTTCTTTAGAGTTTATTCCCATTATTACCCTTAATATTCCAACTCTAAGAACCCAGTTCTTCTAAGAGTGTCTATTACAGATAGACTATTGAACCACTGAACAAAAAATGCTTAGAGAGCCCTTAATCCTTAGACATAAAACTCCTGTCTCCGTATGTGAACCTATTTTAGTATTAGCTTCTGAATTTACAAAGACAGATCACAGTTTTGCTAGAGTATAAAACATAAACAAATGGGTTGCCTCCAAACTATATAAACATTTTCAAGATATTCAAGATATAAATATTCACATTAAACTTGTCATATTTGGGTATGTCTTACCACATATATAATTATTAAAATGCAAAAAAAAAAAGGTGGGGAGAAGAAGTTAGAGCTACAGAAAGTCAGGAGATTTTTATGTATATGTGGTCATCCTACAGAGCCATTAAATTTCTAGTGGAACCAAAAATTCAAGGGTGATTGAAGAATTACATGCAATATTGTGGAATAAAAAATGACACCTTTTCAGTCTCCAAAATTGACAAGATGCTGCCTCACACAAAATAGAGGCTCAAATCTGAGAGTTTCACAATTATGTAAGTAACTCATTTCATAAAAACAATGAGGGGACTACAGCAATCTGAAGACTTTAAAAAGGAAAATAGAAATTCTTCCAGTAAGAAACCAATGAGAACACTTTGAGTAATCTTTAGAATTCCAGAATGGATTATGAAAAGCAGCACCTCCAAACTCCTAGACAAGAAAGTGATGACCACCAGGTGCCTGTGTGAGGACATGAAGCCCAAACCATAGCTGACCAAAAAAGACTTCATTTTTTTGGACAGGGTTACTAGCGGCATGGAAAAGAACATTCATTTCTTAGATCTTTATTTTGTATGTGGCACATAAAATCTCATTTAGTCTTTGCTTAAATCCTATGAGATAGGTCTTTTTTTCTTTTGAGACAGGGTCTTACTCTGTCACCCAGGCTGCAGTGTACTAGTGTAGTCATGGGCGACTGCAGCCTCTAACTTCTGGGCTCAATCAATCCTCCCACCTCAGCCTCCCAAGTGGCTGGGACTACAGGCCTGCGCAACCACACCTGGCTAATTTTTTTTTTATTTTTTGTAGAGGCAGGGTCTTGCCATGTTTTGAACTCCTGAGCTCAAGCGATCCTCCTGCTTCAATCCCAAAGTGCTGGGATTGCAGGCATGAGCCACCATGCCCAGGCAAGACAGATCTTTTTTAAATCAAAATTTTAAATTCGAGGCTATTGAAGCTCAAGGAAGTTATGATTTGCCGATGGTCAAACAGTAATAAGCTGGGATGGCAATGGGTTGATCTGAGTTAACACTCATGTTGTCAACAGAAATAGAAGCCTCCAGTAGGCTGGACAGGGAAATATATAAGGCACAGTGCAATTGGCCCTTACAAAGATCTTTGGCAAGATGTCTCATAATTTTCTTATGAACAAATGTAGAAAATGGGCAGGCTGATACAATTCTTTGATGACACCTCATAAGAGAGATTTCTGTTATCACCAGAGGGCTCTCTACTCTTTGGTGATTTGGTGAAGACACTGAGTCAAATCTTTATTTGCAAAAAGCTGATGCTGGGAATGATAGTAAATATATCAAACAATGGGATCCCTCAAAGTGTAGCTCCACTTGCATTTTCTCTGGAAATTCAGCCTTCATTTTCTTTTCTTTCCAAATCCCATATTACATACTTTAACAATATGTTTTCAGATTGTATCAGTGTGTATGACTCATTAGAGACTGACACAAATTGTTTGCTGTCATTTCTTGTGTATGAGTCTTTTTTCCAAAATGAGCCTGTACATTTTTAAAAGGTGGAAACTATTTTTTACAATTCTGTTTGTCCCATATCATCTGTTGCAGGCCTGAGAAAGTAAAAAGTACCTCCTAAGTGACAACATGTAGACTAATTTGAGAAATATAAACTGCCTCTTAATAACGCTTTTCAAAAGCTTGTTGTTTTTCATTGAATTGAGGTAACAGGACCAGTTTCCCTCTAAATCTATGGTTTTAAAGAAAAAAGTGACTGAGCAACCTAATTGCTTTAAAAAACAAAGCCACATTTAGGATATATATGAATAGACTTAAGAAACTATCACTGTTACTCTCACTTCACAAACTTAGATGTCCAGATGTCTTTGTGTATGAAGAATTGTTGACTGTTGCATGGCATCTCAAAAAAGAAATACACAGTTTCGTCTTGTATTTCCTATTCCTCCTCTCCATTGTTTAGTGAACAATTAGTAGTTAATCTTACCTTAAATTTCCCATCGGAGGAGAAAATGCTGACCCATTTATTATCATAATCGGCAATGATTATGTCCCCACTGGGATGTACAGCCACTCCTGTGGGCCGCTGCAGCTGCCCCGGAGAGCGTCCCCGTATGCCAAAACGACTTTTGAACTGGCCGTCATTGGAAAATATCTGTGAAATAAATTACATTCATTGGAATGTGAACTAGCACAGGCATCACTGAGGAAGACATAGGCAAAAACATCTGCCATACATACAGAGATCAGAACATGCAAACTCTATCTGAAGAAAAGTCTACATGCACATAAGCTTTTTTCCTTACACCATATATCTTAAGTCTGAAGTAGGAAAATATGTAACTATATCTATTTTTATCAATATAAGTAAAGGTATATAATTAAGGGCTATACCTGCACACATTGGTTGTTACTGTCTGCAATTAATATCTTTCCACTTGTAGATGCAGCTACCCCCTGAAGATTTGTAAACTCTCCTTTATTTCTTCCTTTGGTACCTAAAATAAATGATAAAACCGTAAAAATTAAGCACTAAACGGTTGGATTTCTGCATTTCAGCAAGAGAATAATTCAGATTTCCATAGGTACCTGAGAATGCATTGTTTTTAAAAATACTTGAAAAAAAGGGTACCCTCCCTGCTCAATGACCAAATCCATATGCTATTAAACCTCTCTTCCTGACCAATAGTCTCTGCAAAATCACTTTTTAAAGCAAATGTCAGTCTTCTCTTATTAATTTCTAGCTGCATATTTTTAAAAGGTGGAAACTATTTTTTATAATTCTGTTTCTCCCATATCACCTGTTACAGGCCTGAGAAAGTAAAAAGTACTTCCTAAGTGACAACATGTAGACTAACTTGAGAAATATAAACTGCCTCTTAATAACTCTTTTCAAAAGCTTGTTGTTTTTCATTGAATTGAGGTAACAGGACCAGTTTCCCTCTAAATCTATGGTTTAAAAAAAAAAGTGACCGAGCAACCTAATTGCTTTAAAAACAAAGTCACACTTAGGATATAAACATGTTTAAAATATTCTTAGATCCCACAAAGACATCATAATAAAAACTAATATGGCCTGCCTTTATCTGACATGGCTTTCTCACTTTACCCTACGCCACTGCTATCTGCCAGGTCTGTGCTGCCTTGGGCATGGCATTCTCAGAATGAACATTCTCAGCCCTGCTCACTCTGCCCCTGTCTTCTATCTTTGTGGACCTGGTTTGCATTTGGGGTGTGGGGGGCATTTGGGATGGTTCAGACTCAGTTTGGGTCCTGCCATTCTGGGTTTTAGTGGGAGAAGGGAACCTGGTAAAGGGGCCCTGCCCTAAGGATATGCAACAGGAGAGGGGTCTTATTTTACAGTTTTGCCAAAATTCCACCCTCTCACTCAGCAGCTCTTGGAAGAAACGTGGACACTTGACTTTCAGTACATTTAACAAACCGAAGGCCACAGATGTTATAAGAATAGTAGGCTGATTTTCATATTACAGATTTACTTATAGATTATTTTCAAAGATTCAATATATCACAGGCTGGATATTCTTCCTGAAATTATAAAAACATATTCTCACAGGATGCTTTGTAGATTAAATAAGAAAGGCAAAAGGAAATTCATTAATCTAAGAAAATATTTCCACCCATACTAGATTCTTTTTTTGATTTGTTTTGTTTTGTTTGTTTGAGACAGGGTCTTGTGATATTGCCCAGGCTGGTCTCAAACTCCTGGGCCTAAGTGATTCTCCGGTGTCAGCCTCTCGAGTAGTTGGAACTATAGGTACATACCACGATAACCACCACACCTGGCCAAACTAGACCCTCTTTTAAAAGAATAGATGAGGCAGAGAGAAAAACAGCAAATCATCTACAGGTTAACAGACATCTGGTTTTGTTTCAAAGGAAGTTTTTATAATTTATTTCAATAAGATGATGTAAATATTAATGAATGGAAACAATGAATTTTGCTCAAAAATGACCATGAAGAAAGCTAAATGTTTCCTAGTTAGAGAGAGAGAACCATTCTTCACATTTATAATTTCATTTATATTCAAAAGAGCAATTTGGGCCGGGCGCAGTGGCTCATGCCTATAATCCCAGCACTTTGGGAGGCTGAGGTGGACAAATCATCTGAGGTCAGGAGTTCAAGACCAGCCTGGCCAACATGGTGAAACCCCATCTCTACTAAAAATACAAAAATTAACTGGGCGTGGTGGTATGTGCCTGTAATCCTAGCTACTCGGTAGGCTGAGGCAGGAGAATCGCTTAAACATGGGAGGTGGAGGTTGCAGTGAGCCGAGATTATACCACTGCACTCTAGCCTAGATAGATGACAGAACAAGACTCCGTCTCAAAAAAAAAAAAAAAGAGTCATTTGCTATTTTGTTTTTCGACATCAATGCAGTGCCTTAGGAAAGGGTAGACAAGGATGCACTGGTGATGGCTAATGTCAAACACCTGCTTAAACACTGTTTGGGAATAGATTTGTCTGAAACAGATTTTTGGGTTTAGGAATTGAAATTGGTGATGGATTAAACTTAGAATAAAATCAACAACAAAACTACTGGGCAGAATCATCATAGATGAGCTGGTTCTCACCAGACCCATGTGGTGGTCAGTTCATTGAATCATGGACCCTATCAAGTTTACTCACAAACTCTGCATCTCATCTACTAGCACCAGCATGAAAGAAAAATTTGAGATCCAGATACTGTCATATTTTAATCCAAATGTATCAGAAGAAAGGATCTTTGATACTTGATCCACATAGAATCCCAATAACATGCGTGAATATGGAATCAATGAACATTCTTGAAATAGCGAGTTGTTTCTGGTAGTGGGGAGCAGGAAAGGAGTGGCTGGCCCTCGAAGGGGATATGTGCCAACATGGTTTGAAGGTAAGGAGAGCTCGAGTCTGTTGCCCACATGTAAATTAAATCACAAGGTCGGAGGAACATCTGTTTGTCTAACATTGCTTATATGTTTTTGAAAGAAGCTAGATGAAACAGGCACTGCCATTTTTATTTTATATTTGTTTTAAAACAAGTATTATTTTTGGTCTTTCCCCCATGTCTGAATAACAGCTAGGTAACAGGTACAGCAAAACAGATGGGCTAGAAACAGAAACAATTCTAAAATGCTCAGCTTAGAAATAATTTTTCAAAGGTGGTATGGACAAGCCAGGGTCTCTTAAGAATAAAAACTTCATTTATGAAAAAAATTTTATAGGCCAGGCATCATAGCTCATGCCTGTAATCACAGCACTTTGGGAGGCTGAGGCAGGAGGACTGCTTGAGGCCAAGAGAGTTCAAGACAGCCTGGGCAACAGAGTGAGAACCAGTCTCTACAAAAAAAAAAAATTGATCAACACAAGCATGGAATTAAACAATACGAGGAAATGAGGACCAATTAACTGAGACTGGACCATAAACCAAAGAAGAAGTGATTCTGTATAAAACCCAGACTGTTCTAGATTCTTGCTTATATAAAGTTGAAAGTGCACGCAGGGCTTAGAGGGCATACAGGTAGGGGGAAAGAAATACTGAAAAAAAAGGAGAAGGGGTTAAAAAGCACCCGAACACAGTAGATGAACACTGATTGACTGTCCTTGTGGTCCAGGTAGGGACAAAAACTGCCTGCTGCTCTCCTTCCTCTAACCTTTTGTCTGTCCTGCTAGAAGGATGCCTATTCTATTCAGAAGACCCTGCAGGCAGTAGCAACTGATAAAAGGAAGAGAAAAAAACAGAGAAAACAGTGCTTTAGTACTAGTCAAGGAGGTGTCTTAGTCAAAAAGAGTCTGTTTTCCTTTTGAAAATATGGACATGATGTCGGAGGAGGGAAATATGAGCAAAAAATACTAACACTTTTTGTTCTTTACCGAAATAAACACACATTTTTTCAGTGTGAGTAGAAATGGGCAATAGTTGTATTTTGGGGTATAATTTTAAAACTTGGAAAGATATTTAGTTGGATGCCATAGTAATATACCATTCAGAGCAAGGAGAAGGAAGACTCTATGCCTAGCTTGAAATGAATGTGAGATGTTCCATACCGGCTAATACTAGATCACAAGAGCAATGGACTGTGTTCCAAAAGACCACACTGCTGGAAAGAGGTTCCATGACCCCTGCTGAACTCAAGGGCAATGTGTTGGCCCAGCTCTTATTCTTGGTTTGAATTTAAGGAGCGCTCAAGTCTGTTGCCCACATGTAAATTAAATCACAAGGTCGCAGGAACATCTGTTTGTCTAACATTGCTTACATATTTTTGAAAGAAGCTAGATGAAATAGGGACTACCATTTTTATTTTGTAATACTGTTTAAAAAAATCTTTTCTTTAAGCTCCATGGCTCGGTTTCTGAATGGCTGGTTGGCATTCCTGGTAACATCTCCTGATTCTTATGGACATCTTTTGTCATACTGGAGATTATTGATTATTATTATTTTTCAAACTCTATCTGAAAGCACAGCAGAATCAGTGCATTACTCCTGAAGATTAAAAGGACACCACTAGCATATACTTGGGAGGACAATTGATGCCGACCATTTTCACCAACAGTTAAACTAGAAATATCTTGATGGTGATGCAGCACTATAGCATATTGTCATTATGCTGAAATGTTCAAGTGTTTGTAAAGTGTCTTAAGACAATTCCAGAAGTTAGAAATAATTTGGGATCATGCCTTACTCTTCAAGCTTTTCAGTAAATTCTATTTCATTTGTAGAAAGTCTCTTCTCTCTCTCTAAAGTATTCTAAATATATTTTTAAAACTATTTCTTTCATAACAAATATAAATAACACAAAACACATATAATACTTATAAAATCTTTTTTATCTACTTTAATGTAAAAGATTTCATTTGACGGTTACATATTAGCTAGTAAAATGAATAACAAGAATTTTTAAAGTAACTATAATCAATTTGACAATTATTCTATAATTCCATAATTAAACCATTTTGTTTTTCCAGATACAAGTCTAGCCTATGAAGCACAAAATGAACTTTTAATTCAACAGCTTCTCACCCATATTCTTCCTGGTCACTTCCACCTACCCCTCCAGGAAGATTAGAGAAGGTGAACCCTTAGACTGAAATAGGGGATCAATAAATGCAGATTTCCTCTCACCACCCATTCCAACTTCATGTGAAATTAATGCTGGCCGGGCACAATGGCTCACACCTGTAATCCCAGCACTTTGGGAGGCCAAGGTGGGTGGATCACTTGAGGTCAGGAATTTGAGACCAGCCTGGCCAACATGGTGAAACCCTGTCTCTACTAAAGCACACACACACACACACACACACATTAGCTGGAGATGGTGGCGGGTGTCTGTAATCCCAGCTACTCAGGAGGCTGAGGCAGGGAGAATTGCTTGAACCCAGGAGGCAGAGGTTATAGTAATGTAATGTTGGCCCAGGCTGGTGTCTCAAATTCCTGACCCTCCAAGATCCACCTCACCTTGGCCTCCCAAAGTGGCTGCGGATTACAGGTGTGAGGCCATTGTGCCCCGGCCAGCATTAATTTCAACTATTAAAGTTGGAATGGGTTTGGGTGAGAGGAAAATCTGCATTTATTGATCCCCTATTGCAGTCCTAAGGGTTCACACTTCTCTAATCTTCCTGGAGGGGTAAGGTGGAAGTGACAGGAAAATATGGGTGAGAAGCTGTTGAATTCAAAAGTTCATTTTGTGCTTCATAGCTAGACTTGTATCTGGAAAACAAAAGTTGTAATTAATGGATAATTAATAGAATAATTGTCAAATTGATTATAGTTACTTTAAAAGTTCTTTGTTATGTCATTTTACTAAGCTTTAATATGTGACACGTCAATGAAATCTTTTGTACAGTAAAGGTAGATAAAAAGATTTTATATAGGTATTATATGTGGTTTTGTGTATTTATATTTGTTATGAAAGAAAATAAGTTCTAAAAAATATTTAGACAATACTTTAGAGATGCAGAGAAGATGACTTTCTATCAAATGAAATTAGTAATTTACTGAAAAGCTTTGAAGAGTAAGGCATGATCCCAAATTATTCTAACTTTTCTGAAATTGTCTTAAGACACTATTACAAACACT